TAATAATAATAATAATACACCTGTGTGCATCACTCTGTGAGACCATAAACCTCTTTAACTAGTACCTTTATGTCATAACATCTTAGTGGATAGTGGCAATGTGTGCTTGGGGGAGATAAGATAGCAGAAATATTTGGGACCAAAAAAAAGAAAAATTATTATTATTATTTTTTTGTATTTGTTTGTTTTATGTGAATATCCTCAAAAGGTCATTTTTGGGGTATAAATTAGCTCTAAGCTGCATAATTTAGATTAAAAAAATAAAGGCTTTGTCACTCCATTCCCTCTATATGAAATACGTGATATAATAAATTGTAATATTACTGAAACTGGTGAAATAAACTGACCTTTTGTTGATATTTCACTTATAGAGATGCACCTGAGAATGTGAGGAGTATCACATTTAAAGTCCCCTGATTCTCCCTCCCTAAGCTGTCGGCAGATATGTCTTCCTTCACACTTGGAGTCCTCCAATCTACCAGGCCTTTTTCACATTAACCCGTCACCTTTCAGCAGCCCCCTTACATTAGTTGCTCTAAGAAATCAATCTCATTACACACTGGAGGGACATACATTTAGTTTAAAGATGTTTCTTTGTTCTCATCTCACTCCTTTCTCTTTTCTTCTTTGTGCCAGGATTTGAAGCCAAGAGGAGACAATGACATCTATAAGGAATTGGAACGGTAAGGAAAAATGTCTAGCATCACCTGTGAGTGGAGCTGTTTATGTGCCACTCGTCACACTGGCCTCACACTTACCAATCACACTGGTCTGCACATCACTCTGACACTACGGCATAATATCACGCCATGCAATGACAGGCCGCACTCCTTTGCCTCTGTGTTGTTGTTGCGTGGGCTGCTTGTGTTTGTGTTAAAAAGGGGGGGAAATGAAAGAGTTTGGAGAACTGGAGTTTTTTTTTCCTATTTTCTTTTTTTGAGTGAGTTTGTCTTTGTTCTCTGTTTTCAGATACGAGCAGTGTCAGGGCTGATCACCTACCCACATTTCATCCCCATCCAGCTGTCACATCCTCTCTCTTCACAGCTGCCGCAAAAGGCCTTTTATAAACAGGAGGAACTACTCAACGTCAGAGTTGGGGACTTAAAGAAAACTTTTGAGCTTTATAGAAATGCTATTCGGGTTTTTCTTGCAAGCTACCGCTCTTTAGACATTACGGAAACCCACAGACATTTCCAGAATGGGTGGCTGTTAATCTTACACTGTAAAATCGAAATATTATTCATGTAATTTATTACAAAGGCATTGCAGTGTGTAACATGCATCTCTGTGATGATTTATTTAATATGGCTGCAAGTAAGATGAATCTATGTGAGCCTCTTACTGAATCAAACAAGGCAGATTTGAAATGCTGTATTGCTCCAAAAAGAATGCTGGCATAACTTAATTAGATCTCCTGTTCTTTACTTTACTGTGCTTGAATAGTTAAACACTTTGTTATTCATTTTTAATTTGGATGGCATAAAAGAGGTAATTATTGCTGCTTTCGTCTACTGTGTTGGCAGAGAATTATGAAGAGATTTTAAAATTTCAAAAATTTTCGTTGATCTACAATCGACAAAAATATACATCCAACACTTTTGGTTTTCCTCCCATTTTTTTAATGAGATAAACTCAAAGATCTTAAACTTTTACCACATACACAATATTACCATTTCCCTTGCATATTGTTCACAAACCAGTTTAAATATGTGATAGTGAGCACTTCTCCTGAGATAATCCATCCCACCTCACAGGTGTGCCATATCAAGATGCTAATTAGATATCTGGATCAGTGCATAGGTGTGCTTTAGACTGTCCACAATAAAAGGCCACTCTGAAAAGTACAGGTTGGTTTGGTTTTGTTTTTTTTTTGGTGGTGGGGGAGCTAGGAAATCAGAAAACCTGTCAGTATCTGGTGTGACCACCATTTGCCTCAAGCAGTGCAGCATATCTCCTTTACATAGATGATCAGGTTGTAAATTATGGCCTGTGGAATGTCCTCTCCTCTTCAATGGCTGTGCGAAGGTACACGCTGTCGTTTAGAAAGTGATGTAACCCCTGGCGACCCATTAAACAACTAATAAGATTGTTTACTAATTAGGCGCTGAGGGTTTTTCTAATTTTACTGTGAGGTTCTACCAAGATAAAATTGTTTCAATATCTGCATAGAAAGTGTTTTCTACCTGCATGGCTAGGGCAAGGAGCCTGACCAAAAATGCCAGAAATGCTGCTATTGTAAAATAAAATACAAAAGCAGACCCTTGTTTCACTTGCAAAGGTAAAAAACATTCTTTATTTAACAGTCTTTGTCCTTAAACCACATTATATATTATGTAGCTGTGTTGCCCTGCAACATATCGCTGCAGGGCATCACAGAGACACACAACCATGTACACACTCACACCTAAGGACAATTTAGAGATGCCAATTAACCTAACAGTCATGTTTTTGGACTGTAGAAGCCGGAGTACCTGGAGAGAACCCACACATGCACAGTAAGAACATGCAAACTCCATGCAGAAAGACCCCGGGCCCGGAATCAAACCCAGAACCTTCTTACAGCAAGTCAATAGTACTACACACTGTAAAAGTGTCAATTCTTCTTTTGCAGATTGAACATGTGAGACTTTTATTTATGATTCCAACATGAAAGCTATCAATTTATATATTTATTTCATATAATAAAGCCTCCATGTCTCTAATTTCAAAGCAATGTTTATCCATAGATCTGGGCTGTAACAGTTTGAGTTGAAATGTCTATTTCATCATAGTCAAAAGATTTTATTATCGTCAAGTTGGTGCGAACAATGAGAAATTTGACGTTGGTTTCACTTTTCAAAACAGTAGGATTGGTGCAAATGGGTACTTTAACTGTTGGATATTTAAGAGATTGACAGCCGGGGGAAAAAAATAAAATAAAAGTCTGTGTGGCAACTTACTTTTGTGAATAGTGCACTGTAGCTCCTACCTGAAGTTCAAAGTCAAAATATTTTTGTGTAAGATGTGTTTGGGCTTCGTAAATGAACCACACCACAAAGTGATGGAAAAACACAGACCAGACGAATAATGATAGTGTAATATGACGAGAAGCTCTTACTTGATTTGCTGCAGGAGTTTAGTCTCTGTTGATTCTTCTTCTAAATATTGTCTGTTTATGAGAACCAGATTAGGTAGAGAGAAAGGGTGGTTTAGAGGAACCAGAAGTGATCCACACCAGAAATTGTTAATTAGATTGTGAGGGGAAGCATTGTGCAGGTTGTCTGGAAGTCCACCACAATCTCTACAGTCTTTGGCAGGTTAATGTCCAGGTGGTCCTGACAGCACCAGTGGATAATCGGATCCACCATCTGTCTGAATGCAGATTCATCACTGTCCCGGAACAGATCAGCTACAGTGGGGTTGTCCGTGATCTTTGGGAGTTTCACAGATGGAAATCTCTGAAATGCTGCAAAGTCTTCACAGAATGAAAAGGGGTGTATTTGTGGGTGTCTGTGTGTGTGTGATGTCAAATAAACTTTTATTATCAAAATTTTATTTGATAATAATTTTATTTTGCTAGCTAGTATTTTTATTCTTCATAGATTCATTTTGGGAAATCCAAGGATGCTTCATATTATGGATTAAAACAGTCAGATTAAGGATTATTGTGGTACAATTCAACACCTTTGGTGAACAAGCAATGTTTTATTTAATTCAGAGATAAAATATTGTTGCATGTTCTGTAGGTAGACTGTTCCAGCAGTATTTTTACAGTTACATATTCCTGCAGCAGCTCTATAGTTTTAACATTCCTGTCAGTTTACAGGGGGAAGCCAAAAGGAGGAAAAAGAATGGGGGCGTCTGTAACCGACAATAGTTTTTGAATAAATTGTTCCATTTTAAGTGAGAGTTATTTATAATATGAGTTACAGTGTTTGGACGGAGAGAACGTGACAATATATTCTAACGTAAGCACAGTGAGTATTTGTCAACAAACGTAGTGCCAAGAACGGAGAGATGGCTGGTGTCAGAGACTCTGAGGCTCCTGGATGTGATTTAACGGGCAGAGGGTCCAAAAATATAACAGGTAGGAAATTAAAACGTAAATGATTTTCCTCCAGGCCTCAGCACTATGGTCCCTGACCTACAGCTCTCATCTGCTCTGCTATCTGTACAATAAAAATGAAGGATTGATGAATTCCAGCTGACCGAAAATATTGAAATATTTTCTAAACATCATCATCATAATATATGAAGTGAGAATTAGCCGTTAACACATTAAAATAAAACCCTTTGTGAGTAGGCAATTAGAAAAAAAAACAACAAAAAACTGTGAAATATTCAAAACATCAAATTATATTTTGAAAGATTTATGTGATATATTTTCAATATCAGTGAATGTATGTTACTTCGGCGTCGGCAGAGGCACGATCTGGATCTGCGGTGCCTGGGTATGCCAGGAGCACTGATTTTTTAATTAATTAATTTTCCGCATTCACAACTCCGCTCTCACAGCTCATTTATCCCAGCATGGATAAAGACAGGTAGGACTGATTTAAAGCACTTTGTAGAAAAGGCAAAGAAGAACTTTTTCTAGATGTTTGTTAATTTGCATAGTTGCTCATAAATAAAGACATTGTCAGAAAATAAATGGATTTTATATATTAATCAAATATAAGCTGACTAAAAGATTCTCCATTATTAAACTGGTACATTATTATTTTTTTAGCTTTCTGACATCATGTTGGATCATGCAAAACACAGATTTATCTTCACAAAGCCTCAGAAGGGCAGGATTTATGTACAAAATGTAAAGCTGTTCATGAAATTATGTTTTGTTTTTATAATGTTTTTTGTTGTTGGCATTCATATAAATATACTGGTGTGATAACTTAATAGATGTTTGATTGGTTTTTGGTATACGTCTATTTTGAATTTATAGCTTCCCCTGGAGAAAACTCCACCAACCGCCACTGGCCGAGACGATACCGTTTACTGTTAAAAAATTTACATGCAGCTCTCCCATATTTCTGGCCATGATATATACACACCTCATAGGATAATCACCATCACACCATCATAGGATGGGCCCAAATAGAAATTATACACACAGACATATATGCATGTAGAGGTATGTTTTTTTTTTTTCCTTTTACAGTTGCACATTTCAAGTTTTAAGTTTTCAATTTCATGTTTGCTGACAGATATTTAATGAAGATAAATTGTGCCTTCATCAGTAGTGGATTAGAAATATACAGTTAAGTTCACAAGTGAGCCAATTCAATTCAGTTTGGTTCAGGTAGATATTTAATGACGCAGAAAATAACAATCTGATTGTACAATTTAACTATCTTTCAAGGCTGCACTTTTAAAAAAGATGAAATTGTCCAGTGAGCTTTTCCAAACGAAATTTCTTTTTGTTTTACACTTATGTAAATGAAATGACAATTATTTTTTGTTTCTGCATTTTTTATTTCATTTCATTTTTTTAGTTTTTCCTACTTGCTTTGATTCTGTTTTATTGTCCTATTTATTTCCTATTTTAATCATGTAAATCACTTTGCATTGTCTTTGTACTGAATTGTGCTATACAAATAAAATTGCCTTGCCTTGCCTTGCCAAATAAAATCTGTCTAGGTCTCTAAGTCTAAGTCTAAGTGCTATAAAATATTCAGTCGCATGCTTTCATTAATTATCTGTGCCCATGCTTTTAAAAAATAAATAATTGCCCCTCAAAATGTTTTTCTTTGTGCCGTATTGTGCTTTTCTTTGTATAGTATTGTGTCAGCTGACGCCCCTGGTTAGTTAGATGTGAATGTATGGACAGGTACAGTAGGTCAGGAAGTAAACTGTCTATTGAAAGTTATAAAATTATGTTATTTAGAAAAAAATACAAAAAAATATATTTTTTCTGTTTTGTATTGTCTTCATTTTTTTGTATTTATTTTCAAATGGGGTACTGACGTGCTGATTTTATATTTTTGACGCAAAACAAGTCTCATTCTTTTATTTCATTTTGATTTTTCAGAGTTTTGGTCAGTGCAGGCTGCCGTAGCCACCGAGGCGCAAGAATGGCGGCTTGGATGTTGTACCGCTGTGTATTTGGGCCTCGTCTTCAACGTATTCACCGGTCTCCGGAACCGTCTCGACCTGAGGGCAGACTGGCCAGAAGGGTAGGAGACAATGAGTTTTACTTCGTTTTAGAGCTACTGAGGTCGAAATGTTTAGTTTTCCTCTTTAATGGCTGCGGTGGGCGGTTGTTATTGCTGTCATTGCTCTGCTTAGCTTAGAATGACAGTAGGTGATGGGTGGACGAGCAAGGAGGGGGATATGTGCAATTATTTATCCGTTTTAATTTATTTTCTATTTCAGCACCATTATAATATCTAATCTAGCTGTAAATAATGATTTCATTGCTTTTAATATTTTTTTATTGCTCCAGCTCCGCGTACTGTAGCTTGCTAACATGGTAACAACACTTTGGAGAAGAAAAAAACTGCAATAATTCGAAGAGAAAATTATATCATTGTTTGAATTTAATAGATCGTAAAACCCTGTTTTAGGGATAAATAATGTTTTGTTTTAGTTGTTTTTTTAACCCTCTTCCTCCCTTTGAGATAAATCTCTACCAATTAAGCTAACGCTAGCTTATTTAGCCTGTTTTTACTTCTCACAGGGGTGGAACTACCAACCCAGGGGTCTGGAAAAACACTCTGACAGTATCCTTGGCTGGGTCAGTACAACATTTTCTTATTTGTCTTGTTGAAATGCTGAAGCTCTTTGATTAAAGTGTAAATGATTTTCCTCCAGGCCTCAGCACTATGGTCCCTGTCCTACTACAGCTCTCCTCTCCTCCTCTGTTATCTGTACAAAAAAGGTAGGATTGATGAATTACAGCTGACTGAAAATATTAAGGGTCTATCTTTTAAACATTACATCGTCATAATACGTATATGAAGTGAGAATTAGCTGCTTAAACATTAAAATAAACCCCTTGGCAGCTGCTGTTTTTCTTTTAGATTTTGTCTGTATTTCATTGATATAAAATCATTGTGTGAGTTTGTTTTATGACACAGTTTACATGTGATATTGAGCTCCCTTGTTGTTTGAAGAGCTCAGTGGTTGCTTTTTATGCGTTATGATATATTCAGATTTCAACCAATATATTAAGTTTATGTCATTTTTAACTGTCATTGGAAGCGCCTGAACATAATTTTAAGACGAACCAATGAGTTATGTGAATAAGAAGCAGGTTGTTTTTGTATAGAAAGTCAAAATATAAATGTCTATGGAACAATAGCCTCCTGTTGGTCAAAAAATATTAATAACTGGATGAATGTTTAGAAAGAAGTTTTATTTCTATTTTGTTTTTCATTTAAACAAAATTATCAAAAAGAAAAATGCTTTAAGGGAACCCAAGCCTATGCAGGAATACAACCAATGCCTCTTTATAACATTATAAAAGAAACGCATTTACGACTAGAGGAACATGGGCTTAAATGTACGGTACATATATGTGCTGAAGGCAAACTAAAGAATAAAAAATACATAATAATAAAAATCAATGCACACATTTGTCTGATCATTAAAATACCAGCACAGTAGTTATTAGTAATATCGCAACAAAAACTCCATTGATGTTTTAAATTAGGTTTCAAAAACAAAATAATACACTGAGAGAATTGATAAATAATATGTAGGTGAGGTAGCAATGATTTCCAGCCACCTAAAGACGTTACAATAACCTTTGTTGCAGACAAACTTTCCTAATTTTGGAAAATAGAGGTCAGAGCAGTTCTTTGCTCATGATGTACTTTAGTTTCATAGAAGATCTTCATGGCTGATTGCTAGATTGCTGCAATAAAGAAAACAAAACTGCTGTTTAATTTAGCAGAGTAGCACACAGAAACATAACATGCAATTCATATCCCGGATCAATCGACCAAAGAAATCCTGATATCCACCAAGAATCTTTCTGTTTTTCACCAAACTTCATGATATTCAGAGGTTTAACATTGATTGAAAAAAGAAAAAAAACTGTTGGTTAAAGTCAAAGTTGGATTTATTGGACAATTCTTCAGAAAGTCCACAAATGGATTTTTGCTTGTGAATACAAAATGATAAAATCATGTGTTAATGTGAAGTAATTTTTACAAATGAAACATTAATGAGCTCAGCTGCATGTCTGTTTTATGATCTTTAAAATAGCCACCTGCTATCTGTGTTCTTTGCTCTTGGTAATGGCTCCTTTAAGAGTTTGAGGCAAAAGCTCTTTTCTTCCTCTCTTTAGGTAATTCTTGTTGGCTGCAGAAGTGAAAGCATTAAAATCTGGGAAGTGTTTGGAAATGCCAGACAGTCAAATAGCTGTCTGAATCTGAATTCTTTATGAATACAGTTCTCTAAAAAATTATTAATGGACATGTCCTTGTACATGGCTGATGTCCTACAAGCAGAATTAATCCAAACATTATCAACCGGCTCATCCAGCAAGGCTGAGCATCGGTAGAAATTAATTACTCAAGGTTATGTGCCACTCCTTAATGTACTATCGAGCTACTGAAATTGATTTATGCACATGGCTAAAGGTGGATTGTCAGATTGTTCTTTTTATTGCTGCCTGATATTTAGCCTCTTGTCCCTGTGTGTTTTGTTTTTGGCTTTCAGGCTACATCTGCAGCAGTAAGTTGGTTCCGGTGAGTCAGTACGTGGGAACCGTGCTCGTATGTCTTCTGGGCGTTGCATGTCTTCGAGGTGAGACTATTGAGTTTTTCTTTTAACCTCCTGCAAGGCAGTAACTAATTCGCTCCATTCATCTTTAGATATAGATAGGGATTCAGCTCGCCAATAAGATTTCATTACCACTGAGACTGTTAAGCTAGGTTTCTGCCTATAAAGCATTCTAAAAAAGACCCTTTAGGTTTAGCAACAAAAGTTTTGTTTCATAGAAACATAGACTTATCTTTTTTTTTCCCTGTTGCTTTTCCCTAAGGATGGGGACGATGGAAAAACTCTGATTATGTTCAGTTTATCTCAGTTCTGGAAGAAACTAAGAAGAATCACACACAAGCAAACAAGGTAAAATTTTACTGATTGGGCTTAAGGTACAATGTTTAGAATTGAAGGAATAAATCACATTCTTGGTTTATTGTTATCTAGTTATGATTAAAAAAAAATGTCAATGAGTCTTTGGTTTGTGTTTTTTCTAGAAAAAGCTGAGGTGTTATGACTTTGACTTCTCACACTGGCCTTCAGATTTCAGCTGGACAGAAGTCAGCAGTCCGTAAGTTACTGGTGTCCTTTTGAAATGGCTGTTTATTCAGTGCATTTCCACTTCAATTAGGATCCGTTTCTAACATAGAGATGGATTCAGCTGAGGTAGAGTAATGCTGACTAAATATTTACTATAAATATGGCAGTTTTTATTGCCTTTTTTCCCGCATTTTGTCACAAAAAACAAAACGGAACCGTTGATAAGTCTTAATATCCCTACACAAAGGAGTGCAAATTGCTATAGAAAATATGTTTTTTCGATATTTTTTGGGAAAATATGACAAATAATATCCCTTACAAAAGGGCATCACAAAGGCCACATAACTACAGACTAGTCAAAACATAGCCAGTTAGCTAGACTAACCCAGGCATCCCCAACCTCGGTCCTCGAGGCCCGCTGTCCTGCAGGTTTTAGAGGTTTCCCTGCTTCAGCACAGCTCATTATAATGATTGCAGTAGACCAAAAGCCTGTTAATCAGCTTTTAATTAAAATCAGCTGTGCTGGAGCAAGGAAACCTTTAAACCCTGCAGGACAGCGGGCCTCGAGGACCGAGGTTTGGGATGCCTGGACTAACCTGCTGAGCTAGGGGAGATAAATAAGAAAATCATTCAACATGCAACTCTGGAGGAGCTGATTATATCTGCTGCTCAGGTGGGACAATATGTTGATAGGGTCATTAACAGGAGTGTTTAAATGGTAAGAAAGACAATATTCTATTAAAATACACAGTTGTATAAAGTGACAAAAATTAGGAATAGTAGAAAGGGTTTGAATGTGGTTGTTAGCTGCTACATTTATATGCTTTTGTATTTATACTAATGTGCACATACTTTATTTCCCCATTAAAGGAAACAGTCCAAAGGTGGTGTTTCTCTGCTGAAGCCAGAGCCCAGACTGAGGGGGACAGCAGACAGTTTAATCAACTCTGTACGCACTTTACCATGCCATGTCATTGGGTATGTATACTAATGTATGAGTGCTGGGTGAAATTTTAACATTTCCACAAATACAAAATCTCTTCTTAACTATAGTTTTGACACAGCATGATTTATTTCTGGTGGTCTTTTGCAGTTTTCTTATTGCTCACACATTCGGGAGGCGGATGTTATACCCCGGCTCTGTGGGTTTACTGCAGAAAGCAATGAGGCCCATGTTGCAGCAAGGCCAGGCTAAATTAATAGAGGAGGTAAAGCAAGAAAACCCCCAGCTTGCATAGATAGTAAATGTATCATACTGTCCACCTCTTATTCATTTTCTCTGCAACAGTATGATGGTCAAAGGAACAAGCTGGTGGCCTGTGATGGGAACGAGATTGACACCATGTTTGTGGATCGAAGGAAAGATGGTGGCAGGACTGGCCAGACGCTGGTAAATGTCGAAAATGATTTGTGTTTGTCCCCTAGCCGCAGTCCTGAGTCCAACAAAATCCCTTTCATATAACTGATGGTTGCTGAAATGTGCCACAGGTCATCTGCTGTGAGGGGAATGCCGGCTTTTATGAGGTGGGCTGCATGAACACACCTCTGGAGGGTGAGAAATGTTCTACTTAACGGCAGGTCAGGTGCTTTGTTGTACAGCGCCTTGAAAAATATTCAAACCCATTGAACGTTTTTCACATTTTGTCACCTTCTAACCACAAATTTAATTGTAGCTCAGTAAGTAGTGCTTAATAGTGAAACATAAGAAACATCTTCTCTTGATTTTCGACCTTCCAAAGTAAAACTTGAGAAGTGGCATTAATTTGCATTTCACCCCATTTATTTTAAATCCCCTTAATAAAATCCAGTAAATATTAGTAAATGGAGTTAACTAATAATTCAAGACCCATGGCCTACAATCTGTAGTGACAGCCTGGAAGGGGATGATTACTTAGAAAAATAGCAACTCTGGAGGAGCTGCTGAGATTGACGGCTCAGGTGGGAGAGGCTGTCAATAGGATGATTATCAATCCACTCCACACATCTTTACCTTCAAGGAAAAATAGCCAAGAGAAAGTCATTGTGAGAACTCGCTGCAAAAGTTTTGAAATATGGTAATGGCAGAATGATGCTGCGGGATTTTTGTCTTCAATAGGGATAGGGGCAACTTTTCAGAGTTGATGGAAATTTAATTAAAAGTCAATACTGAAAAGAAATAGCTTGAGATTTCAGAAAACTTGGACTTTGTCAAGTATACGATCAGAGTCGAGTCGGCTGTTACAGAAGATTGCTATAAAATACTTCTTAGTTTGTTTGTTTAAAGTGACAGAGTGAAAAAGTTCAAGGTGCATGAATAGTTTTGCAAGGCAACCCAATTCCAATATTAAACATACCGTCCCCCATGTTGATCTCTACAGGTGGTTACTCTGTTCTGGGCTGGAACCACCCTGGATTTGGAGGCAGCACGGTAAGTGGGGTTACTCTGTCCTCTGCTGTTGTTAAAGATGAATCACCCCCTTACTGTCCTCGCCATGCATCATCTGGTCCAAACAAGCCTTGCAGTGGAAAAGAACGGCATGTGGAAAGACCAGTTTCTGTTTGCTGGCGTTGCACAAAAAGCCCAAACTTTCCCACTGTGGTATAAAATAGCTGGGGAGGTTATGACTGTTTCAATGGATTTAATGTTTTAGGAACTGAAAGTTGCAGTGATTAGTGATATTTTATTAATACTTTGAAATTTCCCTTTGGTATTTTCTTCCTGCCAGGGAGTCCCTTTTCCCCAGAATGAGGCCAACGCCATGGATGTGGTCATACAGTTTGCAGTGCATAAGCTCGGTTTTCAACTGAGTGATATTGTGATTTATGCTTGGTCCATAGGAGGATTTACAGGTACATAAAATACACAAGTAATCTATAATCTTTACTTTGAGCTTTAAAATGTAGGTATAATTACTTTTTCTTTCTTTTTTAGCCAGCTGGGCTGTAATGTCATACCCAGAGCTCCAGTCAGTTGTGCTGGATGCCTCTTTTGATGATCTTCTACCCCTAGCACTTAAAGTGATGCCTGAGAGCTGGAGTGAGTGCACCCTGTTTAAGATTACACACTTCTTTAGTAAAATATATATATCTACTGCTCCTTACATTAGCATTGCTCTTTTTCTTCAGGACCTTTGGTGCAGCACACAGTGAGGCAATACATGAACCTCAACAATGCAGAGCAGCTTCTCAAGTTAGTTGAACAGTCTGATTGTGGAGAAAATGATCATGAAAGGTTAAAGAGTGACTCAGCGAGACGCTTTAAACGTCTCCTTCACCTTTTGCAGGTATCAGGGACCAGTCCTGCTGGTCAGGAGGACTAGAGACGAAATCATCACCACCACGTATGTTTCGAACTGTTTAATATAAATTGTTTGCTTTTTTTCACGACAGTGTAAATGTCTGCTTTAACAATGTAGAGTTTAAAACTTTTTTTTCTTTTTATTAGTAAATATTTAACCTCTGTCTTTCTGTGAGTGACAAACGGAATATAAGTTTTAAAGAAACTCCTCTTTTTTTTTTCCTCTTAAAAAAACTTGCTGGATGGCATGAATTCCTTCCAATTAAATTGAACATAGCCCCTGCTAGAAAAAGTTTTTATCTGTTCAGTTTACGTCAAATATGAGGCCTTAAAAACATTTAAAAGACTTTCTCCCCTCATTTGTAAAAAAAGTAATTAAATTATGCAGCTTCGCAAAAGAATCTTGAAGTTTGTCACATTACAAACACTAACATAACTTTATTATTATAAAGCATTTTATAACGATAGACCAACACAAAGCAGCACAAGTCTGAGAAGTGGCTGATTATATGATTACATTGATATTAAATGACAAACACAGCTTCTCTATTTAGGCCTATATCCAGTCGTTTTAGCTAAATCTTATGCACTTTAGCATGCAAATCATGTCCCTGATTTTAGATTTTTATGTGTAAAAAAACTTTCAAATAACTATTAGATAACTTTCCACTTCACAGATTTGTTCTGGTTTGTTTTGGTCTGTCTCAGAAAATCCAGATAAATTACTCTGAAGTATGTTTTTTTAATATAAAGTGATTTGATTTGTTTTTTATAGTCAGGATTGTCATTATGATCAAGTTGGATGATGATTAGCTTGATCAAAGTTACTTTAACAGATTAAATGACATTCTGGTATCAACAGTTTGATGATGATGATAGTTTTTTTTAGAAATAGGTCCATAATAAAATAATTCTCACAATGAATTATAAAGGCAGAGAAATCTCAGACAGGTTAATTTATGTCAATGGTTAAAAAATTAGCTGAACATTTTGCCCCATAAAGGTGAATATTTTTCTTGCCAAATCTTTGAGATTCTTCCTTCCTTAAGCTATATGAACGGAAGTGGACGTACTTTAACTGTAGATATCTTACAGGGGTCCAGAGGACATCATGTCCAACAGAGGGAATGACCTTTTGCTCAGACTGCTTCAGTTCAGGTTGGTTCTCTTTCTCTCTAACATCCAGCCTCTGTATCGTCACAGTCTGGGACACTTTGCGTTTTCAGACCCAATAAGTGACTGACTCATTGAATCCTTATGGACAGATACCCCAAGATAATGACAGATGAAGGAGTCAGAGTTGTCAGACAGTGGCTTGGAGCGTCCACTCCCTTCGAAGAAGGTAAGGGGAGGAGTTTGTGTGGAAGGAAGAAAGAAAGTAAAGTTCTTAAAATCTGGTTACGTTTTTTTCACTCTAAAATGATTGTTTCCATCTGGGTCTGTTTTTAGAAGCCAGATAGTAAAATTCCTTTGAAGAAAAATAGGTGCTGTGCTTTAAAGAAGCTGGACTTATCAAGTTATTAAAATTATGCATATTTGATTAAACTTAAAAACATGAAACTTGTGGATTCATTAAACAAAGGTGGATATATTTCAAGCATTTATCTGTTAGTTTTAAATAACTGTTATAATATACATTTAATATAATTAAACATTATTGATCTCATACTGGAGAAATGTACCTCTGCATTTAACTCATTGCCTTGGGGAGCAGTGAGCTACAATTGTCCGACACACGGGAAGCAGTGTGGGGTTAAGGGTCTTGCTCAGAGACCCAGAGTGGCAGTCTGTGGGGATCAAACCTGCTACTTGACCCCTTCACAGAGTGTCAGCGAACTGCTCCAGACCATTAACTGTTCGTAAACACTATGAACATTTCTATGACAAATGACCAAAAACTATTTTTTCTTTCTAGAAAATGTTATTTAATGGTCTTTTAATTCATGAGAAAGATCCCGACTTGACGGCAAAAAGCCAGTGACAGCCTTTACAAGGAGGATAAACTCTGTAAAATCATTGCTTAAAGAAGCAGGCTTTTTTAACAGTGCTGGATTCAATCATAAATATGGAAGGTTGAGTGAAAGGAAAAAATAGGATTACGGTTTGAGCTTGGAAAGATTGTTAGATTACTTTCTAGAGTTTGGGGTAGAGTGCAGATCAAACCTGATGTGGTCCTGGCACATTCAGGACCAGGGCTGCAACTAAAGAAATTTATTTCCTGACCCAGAGACAATAACATATTTATATTCCCTGGAATAAGGAGAAAAGGAACTGGACTTTGTCTCTGTGCTCCTCTTTCAGATGAAATTTAAATTTAGAGATGAATAAAAACTAATGTCTGATAGCTGGATTGGATATTGGGGATTTGATATCGGATATCAGAGATCCAATCCAGTGCACTTTACATGGACAGTTATTTCTTTCTCTTTGCTACTTATTTAATAAATAATATTCAATTGATTTGTTAGCTTTATGTAACAATGTTTATGTCAAGGATAAAGCCTTCCTTCTAATGGAAAGATATATCGTTCATTTATTTAACTGTTGAATTAGATTGGATGTCGGCTGATATGCTCATCACAGGTATCAGATTGGATCGAAAAAACTAGTTAGATTTTCATTTCATTTGAAAAGGGTTAAATTCCACGTTTGTGGGAGTCAAATGTAGTCCATTGCCTTTCTGATTGAAGGAGCCAGGTCATATGCTGTCGAACCGTTGGGTTTTTTTCAAGTCCAAATCAGGAGCATCTATCTACCCTATTAGAACACTGCTGATAAGAATGTCATGATTTAGTTTTCCAGAAGGATTTAGCCCCTGTCATCCCCAGTATGCTTTGATGACCACGGTATCCCTTTATTTGCTCTGACAGGAAAACTCTTTGAGCAACAGATCTATATAATGATTTTAAATTTTTAGTTAGATTAATAAGCTTAATGTTTGTGTTTTTAAACTTAACCTGGATATGAAAGTGGGCCTAACTTAAGTTTGCTGAGAAACCAATGAAATGGTTAACTAATATTGCTAACATTGGAGGTAAATATTCTTATCTCGCATGTCCAGCATCTTATCAACACAGACATTTTTGGCTTTCCTGCAAAACATGGAAAAATATAGAATATTGTTTTTGGTGTTCATTTCCTGATATCTGGAAAAACAAAATTGAAAATTTTTATCCCATGTCAACCTGTTCTTTATTCTTGATGTGTCAACTCCATTCATTTTGTCTCCTTCCAAGCTACCTTCATTTTGGTACTTATTTTCTATCCTCCTTTCTTGATTTTCTTCTTTCCTTGTTCCGTTCTTTTCATCCATGAATCATTTCTCCCTACCTTCCACATTTAAAGCCTTCAAGCTTTAGAAATGTTTCTTGAAAAACCAGACAAAATTTATTGAGCCATATCAGATGCCTCTACCCGACTGAAAGCTCCTATAAAAAAGGCTGAGTCAGGGAATGTGTGCATAAATGTGTCAGAATCCTAATTTCCACAGAGAGTAAGTGTAAAGTTAACCTGGGAAGTGTGCAGGCAGCCTTTAACCAGATAATCCTGTTGTTTCTCTGCAGCATCTGTGTATAGCGCCTACGAAGTGGACGACGACTGGTGCGTATCTGTGCTGCAGTCCTACCAGACGGACAGAGACGTCCCGTTTCCATGGAGTGTTGGTAAGGCTCCACGATCACTAGAGGCAATCAGCTCCACGCAGGATTAAAGCAAACAAATGTTTTCACCGTGTGCTGATGCTCTCAATGTCACCAGGTGAAGACATGGCACCAGAGGGAAGGCGTCAGCTCGCTCTTTTCTTGGTGAGGAAATCTGTTTTCATCTTTGCTTAGAATCTCTGTGGCAGCCACTTGTTGCCTTTATCAAATCTCTCCTAGAAGGATTTTTTTTTTTTTTTTTACCTCAAATAAACCCCCACCACCCTTTTTTTATTCTTGGTTTTCTTACCTCCCGCCTCCTTAGAAATAAAACACACTCAGCTCCTCAGACATCATTACTGCTAAGGAACACAGTTCCGGTCGCCATAGTAACAGGCTCACCTGTGCTCTCAGGTTGACTGGTGTAATATATTTCAGCACGCTCCAGCTTATTGAAGTCATTTAACATCAAACAAGAGGAGTGCCATCCATTACAGCTAATGCTATGCTTTTTCTCCCCCGGTGATGCCTTCTAATTTAGGCTCCATTCACCTCCTGCGTAAAGCCCTTAAGAGATGGGAGAGATTTGTAAGGCACTGAGCCAGATAGAATGAACCTAATATAATCAAGGCTCTGAACTCCTTTTTTTTTTTTTTTTGTTTGTACGTCGGCCTCCCACACATGTAATTCTCCATTCCTCCTCCATCGTCTCTCTCTCCAAGGCTCGGAAGTACATGCGAAACTTTGAATCAACACATTGCACCCCTCTTCCTGCCGCCGAGTTCCACTCGCCCTGGAGACTTTGAGAAGGGGAAAAAAAAAAAAGGATGGATGGATGATGTGAAGAAGGAAAGCAAGAGGTCGATTGCCTGTGGTGAACTGTGTTCCTGCTGTTTTTTTTTTTTTAATGGTTCCAGATCCTTTCCACACACAAACCGAGATGAGATTATTGCACATTTATTTCTTTTATGGTGTTTAGTCATTCTGTTGAGGATGCATTTAAATAAATGCACAAGCCATTACTCACTCCTTCCATTGTTCCCTCTTTGGCTGGGTTTGTAAAGCGAATGTAAGAGACATGTAATGCTCCGATTCAGTGAATAAAAACTAATCTTAACGTCGTTTATAGAGGATTTCCATCTGGGAAAGGCAGCCAAAGTGTTTAAGCTTTTCAGGGTTTTTTTTTTTTTTTCTTTTGTGGAAACTGTCTGTATGAATTAAGATGAAGCCTAAAATGATGCTCTTAAATATGCTAAATAAAATTTGGAGATGGATTTATTTTTTTCTGTGTGGGTTCATCACATCTTTAGTGCGTACCTACTGGGTTCCAACTTAATCTGGGAAATGCTTAATGTCATTCCAGTGATATCCAGGTTTATAGGCGTAAGGGAACGTTTTTGTACATCCACTTTTTTCCTTACCACGTCTACATCTTCAGTCCTGTTTTCTTTCTCGTTCTTAATCCCGTGTTTCCTTCCCTCCATCCTTCCTTTGAGCCAGTGTTTTTTTTGACAGCCATCTCTGATTTAGCCTGTTTTCTTCTTCAGGACGAAAACTTAGTTTAAGTCACTAAAACTCAAAAAGGTTTTAATCAGTTTTATGTTGCAATTCATAAAACAGTTAACCATAACAATTTCAAATAACCAGATTCTTTACCAGACTGACAGCTCTTGCCTAGAAACTACAATTTGTCTAAATATAGAATGCTCGTCAGCAGTTCATCTTTGCTGTTGGGCAGAAAACATTGATTTATAGAATTCAAATAAACTTTATGAATTAATGCCCTACATTATAAAAAAGTGTCTCACTAAAGCTGTAAAAATATCTGATCTAGCTGAACTTATTGGTTAATCTAGTAGACAAAAATGCTGACAAAATGTACAATAAAGGAATTATTTTAGACATACAAGGTTTCCATCTTAATGCAAATGCTTTCTGATCTACTGTGTATTACGCTTTACACAAAGTTTATTAAAATCTCCATTGCTCCAGAAAAGCATAACATGCAACAATTTTGTCTTTATAAGAATTTACCTCCTTATTACCACTGCTCAGGGGTCAAAGTAGATTTAAATTCACAGGGGTCTGATATAAAAAAAAATGCACATATAGCCTGTTAAATTGCCTTATTGCCCTAAATTTAAAGAATGAACTAAAATGTTGACGTATTTCAGCTGGGTCTTTATCCAAAAAATAATCAGTATGCTAATAAATATGTGCTTTGGATATAATTTAGGGATTCCTTTTGGTAGGAATTAAAGGTCATCACCTCTTGTGAGCTGGAAGGAATAAAATCTTGATAGTTGGACAAAGGGATGTTTTATGCTTGGCAGAAGATGATCAGCCACATATAGTTTATTAAGTAGCGAGTGCAGGAAGAGCCATACTGCTCAGAGTGAACAATCAGTGTGGAGCAGAGACGCATTTCTGCACAAGGACATCTGGACGAGGAGAGTTTTTCCAGAGTTAAGCATGCAGTACTGTACCATTCTGGATTACTTTCACTTAGTCTCGTCGACAAAACTCCCACCTATGACTCGTCATGTTTTCATCATCAAAGTTCCTTTCCTTTTTGGAAATTACTTCCTTGAATCTCTTTCCTGTTTACGTCATCCTGCTCCTCAGCCTCGCCTTCCATCTTAACTTCTTTCAGCCCATCCTTTTCCTCCCCTTCCTTTGTAGCATTGTTTGCCTTCCTCTTCTTTATACCATTTGGTTAATTGTTTTGTCTTTCTGCACTGCAGAAATATTTGCCTAAACTGACTACATGTATATATTTTTAGGTGGCCTTACAGGTCAGAAATCTAGAAAACTGAATTCTTCCTAAATGAACCATGTGTATGAATGCTTTAGCTGACAGGAGATGTAAAAATGGATTACACACAACAGCTTTTACTTAAATCCTGTTTATTTTTAAGAGCTTCATTTATTCCCTTCCATACTACATTTTTGTTTGAAAAACCACAATGACATGAAAAAAACAAAACAATCCCGGTTCACATAAAGTGGAAAGTTACATCATTTTCTTGAAGTTTTCTATGGCTTCTTTCACTTTCTCAAGCTCTGTTTGGCTCTGGCGTAGCTGTGGAAGAAAGGAGAGAAAACTACAAGTTATTTACCAAGTATTCACACATCAACCAGCTTCAGGGACCCTGCAAGTCAATTTCTTTCTGTCACCTTCTCAGCATCCTGCTCCTGAACCTTTGCTGGCACCTTCTCCTTGTAATCACTCTTTGCCATCTTCTCTCTCAGTTTCTCCATCTGCTTCTCCAAGTCGCCTTTCTTTGTCATCAGCTTAGTCACTTCCTTCTCTACATCGATGAGGCCCTACAGGGGGGGGAGCAGGACAACACTTTTAAATCATACAGTAATTTCAGCTCTGAAGGTGAGAATGAAAAACTCAGGCAGCGATCTGAGGATGTATGTCTTGATTAGCATACAGATGATATGTGTTTATGCTTTTAGGGCTGTGTTAGTGCTGTAATGTAATTTGTCAGAGCTGAAATGAAGCATTCAGCTGATTAACAACAGGAAAACATATGGAAAATGTCAGCCCATCTGTTGGATACTCAGCGTAATTTACTCAAATTTATAACAAGAGGATAAAATGAAATATAAATACAGTTGACTTATAGGTGAAGTTCAAGAAGTAATGAAACTTTTTCCTGGCTAAACATCATGATCACATCTTTAACGTGCTCGACATCCTTTCGCTACCTTAACAGCCTGGAGCCAGGATATCTGCCTGTTCAATCAGACACCAGAATGGACTTCCTGAGGAAGGACAGGTCTTTCAATGTTTGCACGTCTGCTGTGAGACTGCAATCTCTTGAGGTAGCACCATCAACAGACCGAGTGTTTGGTCTGTTCTAAGTCTTCTGGAGTGGTGATCCAACACAGAGGAGTGTTCATATTTTTTAATAAATATAACAGGCGACACTGAGGGTCCTTTTCATATTAGCAGTGTGTTCAGTCAGAGGCTTGGGAGCCACTGTGATACAGACTGCTACAGCTATTGCCATCTACATTTCAATTCCCAATTGATACCAAAGGGAAACTAGGTTTTGTATCCAGACTTCTTTCCATATGATCCTCCTTCTGCTTTAACACTGATCTTCATCCCTGACCACACATGTCTGATATTGTTTTCCTAGAGCTTGCTCTTCAGCTTCTTCCTGCTTTCTCTTATTTTGACCTTGAGTCGCTTCTGTATACTCCTCAATAGTTTATAGTCTCCTTTTCTGAAGACTCCTTTTTTCTTGTTTAGCCCTTTTGCCAAATCACTGGTGATTCAGGGTTTATTGTTGGGAAGCATCTCACTGTTGGGTGGGGATGGCGTTATCTACACAGAAGTTAATATATTTTGTCACACTATCATTGATGTCCTCTCCGTGTGGCTGACAGGACATTACAGTCTGTGGCCTCAAAACAACATTGCAGGACTGCTTCGTCTTCTGTGACCATCTTCTTTCAGTTCTCTTCAATGCAGGTCTATTTTGCCTTTTCTAAAGAGGGATTATACTTTAAGCAGAGGAAAAAAAAAAAGACAGATTCGATTTCCAAAGAAGTCTTAATTCAGAGAGATACAAGAGACCTTAAGATCTGCATAAAACAGGTCCAAAATGTTGTTTTCTATGGTACAGCAGCTGAAAATCTGTTGACATGTTGAAAGTGGAGCAGAGTGAGGTATGCTCAACTGTTATAGTGGCCGAGGAACTGATGACGTCACATGATATTAACTTTATGAAAAACAGCAGTAAGTGAAATCTAAATAATATGGACAAAAGCTAACTGCCAATAGTTCAAAGTTTGTGCTAGAGAGACCATAATTCGCAGTAGCATGTCCTGGGTGATAACCAGTGGCACTGCCAACCCACCTCCCTACAGTTTTCCAGCCTTCTTTAAGGCCCCGTCCACAAGAAGTCAAAACGAACACGAAACGCTGATATTTTCCAAAACATTTGTCGTAAAGACGGAGACGTAAAATAAATGTGATCGTCCACACGAATGCATGAAAACGCTGCAAAATGTATGCCAGGCCTGTAAGTGGCGCTGTGGTGCCAAAGCAAAAATAAGCGACGAAATGTTGGGCATGCGCACTAATATTTATACATGGTTGCCCTGCGGGTCCATTTTCGTGGTTAAGTCAAATTCAGGTGCTGAACTATGTCGTCGATATTGCTCTGTTCTTCCTGGAGATATTCCAGAAGAAGAAGATTCTGTTGTAAGCCCGACAGCAGGGTGAGTAGCATTAGCAGCAACCATTCAACACAGTACGGCGCCATTGTTGTTGTGATACTGTGTCGCGCATGCGTGTTTAGAGGCGACGCTATGACGCATGCGTGTAAAAAAAAATTTCGGTTAGAGCTTAAAGATGGAAACGCAAAAACGGCGTTTCAAAATCTTCCCACTCTGAAGGCTGAATAAAAAAAGATTGTTTACAGACCCCCGAAACGCCGACTTCGTACGGATGAGAGGCTGGTTTGGTGAAAAATTTGTGCGTTTAGGCCAGGGTTCGGCTTCGTGTGGACGGGGCCTAAATCTATGTCTGTTCATGATGTCAGAAAACCTGGCTGATAGGCACCGTCAGGGATGTGGCCCAACAGCCATGTTTCAGTAAAATGCATAATACTGCATTTCCCTTATTCTGTCTGGGTCCTTGCTAGGGCTTCAAGTTCTTTTAACTTGATTCCTAAAAATCACACATTGTCTATAATGATTGATGGGGGAGATTGCTTGTATTTTCTCCTCTTTCTCTTCGCTCCTGTTCTGCATCATCGGCACCTCCTTTTTAACTCAGCAGAGACTTACTAAAGTAGTTAAAATATTATATCTGCTTTTGAGATGCTAATAAGTTGCTCCTGGGTGTAAAAATAAGTCAACTTGATACGGTTGCTATGGTTTCCAATCATTACAAAGGTCCAAAAAAAATCCTTTCAGCAGCACATCATCCAACACCAAAAGTTTAAAAAAGAAATTTGGGAATAAAATAGTCAGCCTAGGTGTTGCATGCCATCCAAAATATGATTCATAATGTATTCTGCGACCTTTCTATCAGAACCAGGCATAAAATATTTGTGTGCAAATTCTCAGTCATCCGGGTCATGGCAACCTTAAAAGAGGATTAAATCCGAGGCAACCAGACTTCCACCCAGTTTCTCTGAAAATAGTTTTAACACCTATCTAGGAGTCTTCTATGTTTATCTGGAGCGATGTTTTTAGGCACTGTTTGGCAAAGGTTCTGGCCATTTGAATCATGATGAGCATGCATGTGTCATGTCTCTTCAGAATCAGTTCCGGGACAGAGGTGTAAATGCTTAAAAGCTGAAACTGCAATCCTCCCCCTCTTTAAAAGAAAAAAATACATCACTGAACAAAGATGGCATCCTTCACCCCTCTTTCAAACTTCAAAGACGTATCCTTTGTTGCAGAGGTCCAAGTGTATAACTGAATCTTGTAAAGACTCAACATATTTGTGTAAATGTTTGGTTGCTTCTTTCAGCAGTCCTCACTGCACTGGACCATAAAAGCAATGCAGAAAATCAGAAAGTTTGTTATCCAGTGGACGATGCAAATCAAAATGCAGATATTGGTCTGCATGTGTGGACTTCCGGGAAAACCTCAGCAGGCTGCTCTGTTATCAGAATTTTAAATTAATAGTCTGACAACATTACCTCAGTAGCAGAAGAGAAAGGAAAAGAACACAAACATGCTAGGATATCACTCGAAGCAAGTCACCCAAACTGGGCTTTTGTTAGTCATTTTAGGTGAACACCGACTCAACTTCCAGTTCATAGGTCGATATTGGTAGTCCTTCATGATTCAGGAACCATAAAGTGGCTCTCCCCTTTCAAATGGTTAATGACACCTGCTTTACAGCTTTGTTAGCGATTAGCTTTCCCTCCCTTACCACCAGATTCCACATCCTCCATCTCCATTCCACTCACATGCGTTGTGCGTAGTACATGTCTGTCATGTTAATCAATGAGAAATGTTCCACATCCACCGCTACTCCTCCGTCCGTCACCGTCAAAATACGGAGCCGAGCTATTTTTTGCCCCGCTCCGGTCCGGCTAGGTCAAGATCCGCGATTGCAATCCCATCAAACAGGAAAAAGAACGTCGAGAAGATCCTGTTTGTCAAATTAAAATATAGTAATGGCAGATCAGTAACTACAAATTAAAGCCTAATTCTTATATATTCCCTAAAACTAAGACCGCTCAATTAAATGATTTGATGCAAACTACTGATACTTCAGCATAACAGGAAGTAGATTTCTCATCTCCCTCGAAATATTTATTTTATACCGAGAGGCTTAAAAGTTGAATCAAATTCAGACACAACAGCTTCTGAGAGCAAATCTCACAATTTCAAAACAAACTTTTTAACGCAGGCATTGATTAAGAGATGCTGAGTTTGGACGTAGAGAAAAGCATAGTTCATACAAACCAATTTTGTATGATCCTTATGATCCCTGTAACAAAAATCCACAACAAAAAGAAAATCTTTGGGCAGAAACTGCACACATGCTGGATGCTGATGGGGAGTTTTTAAATATGTCATATTAAATTAAGAGTTTATTTCCGCATGTTTTACTCCTATGAATTTTATAATATCGCGCATGTTCTCCTCGAGCTCTGAGGAAGTCGGAGCGAAGCAAGATGGGAGGAACAGCGGAGCCTGTGGGCTTTGCTTTGTGCAGGCGGTCTGGAACGAAGCGGGAAGGTAACAGAAGGATGTGGGGATTTCGGGGTTAACTTCCTCCTCATGGCATGTGCTGAGGAAAACTAACTAGGTTCAGCGTTACCTTTGACCTTCCCAGTATATGTATAAAAAAAATCTGCTTGGAATGCAGATATTTAAAAGGTTTAGAAATTTTAGACATTTCCTTTCATAAATTTCCTTATTTTTAAAGATCAACAGCCTTAGATGAATGATGTGATCACCTGTCTTTTCCCTTTTAAACAGTGGCTTCCACCTTAAATGCAAAGTGTTTATTGTTTTTTTTGTGCAGTCTTCTCATAATTACTGCTCTCAGATGTTCTTTCAGTAAAGTCTATATACTTTAGTTAACAACTAAATAATCAAACTAGCTGTCAATCATTTATTAATCAGGATTAATCAGATTTTTTTTGTTTTAGTTTCACATAATCCATCTTTGTATTTTCTATTGACTTGGTCACTTTTGTCCACAGCAACAGAAATTCTTCTTCTTTTAGGCCACATAAAACCTGGTATTCCAAAAGGGGCGCCGACTTTTTACATCCAATAGATAATCCGTCAAAGTCATTCACCAACGTTGGGTTTCAATTTAAATGCAATTACTCAGCTCACACTGCCGGTATTAGTTTAAAGCATCTTTAAAGACGCTTACAGCCATTTCCGGCTCAGAGGAGGAGGAGTGGGATTACTCTCACCTTGAGCATAAGGTTGACAGTACATCTGTCAGAGGCGATAGCCACAGCGCAGCCTTCTGGGACCGGCTGGTTGGCTGTCAGAGGGATGACGGCCTGAGAATAAGACAAGGTCTGAATCTGCAGGTTGTATTTCTGCACCAGAGACACGGTTGCAGCATCTATGCACTGGAGGTAGCCTAGAAGAGGAAAATACAAAAGGTACATTTTAGACATCAAATCATGTTACCTTAATGCAGCATTATTCAAAAGCTTTGCATGTGATGTAATTTTATTCAGCTACATTTGTGTTTTAAGAAAAAAGAAATATATAAACTGGAAACAATAATGATGTTAAGTGCCTCAACTTTATTTAAGTGCCGTGCTTGAACTATGCAATTACTTCCCACCACTTCTATTCATGTCAGCAGAGGTTGAGAGAGCCACCCAGTGCGTTTCAAGAAAAAAACATCACAGCAGATCGAGGATAAAATGTTAAAGCCTTGAAATTCTACTGAAATAAAAAGCTGTTTTAAGAGTGTCTACAATCTTACAGTCGGCTCTGGTCTTTGTCAGGTTGTAGTCGGCCCTGAGAGATCGGATCGTCTTGACCACAGTCATGCTGAACTCCATATCACGGTCGACCTCCTCGCTGTTCCAGGAAAACTAGAGAAAGGACCATGTTTCACTCAAAAAGCAAAAAGAGAATCAAATAAAATCCCCCAAACAAAGTGAAGGATCTCAAAGTTTTTAGCCAATCTGGACCCCGTTAACGAAATAACACTGTTGTTAATTCAGTCGCTTTTGGTAACCCTTCATCTTACCTCCGCTGTGTCCGGGTAGGACGTCACACAGATGCTGGGCGGATCAGTTTGAGGTTTTCGTCTAGGTAATCTCTGGTAGAGTTCTTCAGTGACGAACGGCATTATGGGGGAAAGAAGTCGCAAACCCACGTCTAAACAGGTGTAAAGTGTCTGCCTGCACACTTCGGCTTGCCTCTGGGCGGCGCTGTCTTCATCCGCTTTAATAAACACTGGTTTCACACTTTCCTGAAGGACAATTAGTTTGTTATGGTCAATAATACACAGCATAAAAAAAACAAAAAACATTTGTTATAAGAATCTGTGATGACATTTAACAATAATTCAGAAAAAAATTCAACAACTAGTTACTTTAAAGGGGGAAATTCTCATGGAGGGACAATTATTTAGAAAAAAAAATCATTCAATGGCTTTAAAAAGGACAATTGACAAACATGAATAATTTACTTTGAAGGAACAGTCAATAAGTATGTCTATATTTTACCTGACTTTATTGAACTCTGACATCAATAAAATGACATTTGTTGATGTGTTTAAAGACTAAAAAGGGTGGGACTTTTCAGCCTTATTCTTAGCTTTATTAGTGTTTCTCAGTGAATTTGTGCCTTTTAGTTCTAATGCAAACATTTCTAGACAGCTTAGATCATTTTGCACTTTATCACAAAACAGTCAGTGAAAACATTATTGTGAGGTCCAACCAACATCTCAGACTTCATTATAAATTAGACCTAAAATTAAATTTTATTTCAGCAGCTTAGGCTCAGGGTGAATCCTAATAAAACTGTTTTCAACCTAAAGGTTCAGTAGAGGAAAAAAAAAATAATCCCAAGTTAATAAAAACTGGGCTTTCATCCAAAGCTGGTACAAAAACTAACAGCCCTTCTAATCCCTTCAGTTCAAAATGAATTTACAATTTCAGCTTTTTGTCACTCCTTTTTAAAGCTGACCAGTCCCCCCTTCTTTTTTTCCTGCAGCATAAATGCTTCACAACAGAAAGTCATTTCTTCGAGCCCCTTTTCGAAATTGGAAATTGAAGTTAACGTGTAATTTAGTCAGATATGTGTTGATGCCCATTTGTCAGGAAATGGTTTTAAGAAAATAGCTTTTCATGTTAATTTGTTCATTTCTACATCCAAAGATAATGAAAAAGTAAAAAAATAAATAAACTGGAGAACAAAGCCGAACAAGGAGAGATATTCATGTTTGCAGCTCAGAGCTGCAGCAAGGCAAGACATCCTGGAGTCACCAAATCACCATAGTAACCATTAAATGCCATAAGTGCCAATCAACTGAGTGATGGCAAGAAAAAAATAATTAAATAAATACTTCAGTGATGCTTTGAGTTTATATCTACCTCAGTTGTCTCTTGAGCCTTATTAGAAGAAAAGAAATATGGAAAACTTTCAGTAAAAACTGGAGGCCTCTGGCAGAACATTTGAGAAGGGTCGCCTTTTGGTCATTAAATTAACCCATGAACATCAGACCAATGCAACACAGAGATGGTTCAACACACAGAAGAAAACAATTATTCCATTCCCTAAGAGGACAGAGAGCTACAGACAATATCATGTATTAAATTGAAAGCAACTTTTTAAAATGTGGATTGTTTTTTCTTTGCATTTAACCCTCTTTATACATCTTCAACTTTTTTTTTATATACAGACGGAACCTACCAGGTAGACATCACAAAGCTCATAGAGCCAAAAGTTATAGATGGACGTGGTGATGCCAGGAAAGTCGTAGGCCTTGAAGCCAGCTTCACAGAGAGCCACAGCAGCACTCAGTCTGGACAGGATCCACCGGTCCGACACGCTCTCCTCTCCTGACAGCTGAGAACATGGAAACCATGTAAAACAAAAAGAGCACTATGAAAAAGAAGAAATCTACCAAGGAGAGCAAACGAAAAATGGTCCAGGAGATAAACTATTCTTTATATTCATCACCTGCCACCTCTCTTCATGCTCTCTGTCTCATAATCTCACCTGGGCCATCTCTGATGGAACAAAGTTTTCTCCAAGCGTTTTCATAGCAAACTTCACAGCATTCCAAAGCTTGTTGCAGAAATGACGGTAGCCCAGGATGCGGTTTACATCCAGGTTTATGTCCCTTCCTGGGAGAAGAAAAAGGAAAAAAAGGATAATGAGTTAATAATGTAAAACATTTTGCAGCAGAGTTTATCTTTCCTTATTTGGTTTTTAAACCAAAGTTATGGAGTGATTAAAATAGGATTAACTAGGAGGAGGGTTTAACCTTGGCTGGTGTAGGCACACAAAGCAAACCGGAGAGCATCAGTCCCACACTCTGGGATGCCGTTTGGATAGTCCGACTTCTGACCTTGCTTTGCCTTCTCCACCTCTACAGGATCCAGGTTACTGTCCATCAGCTGGGCGTGAAGACCCTACAGGAGGCGCAGACATGGAGTTTGCTCAATATTCATTTTCTATACATCTTAGGTGTCTCTATACTGTCTAGAAATTAGATAAATAATTATCCTAGTCTGGATAAGTGTGAAAAAATATTTTCTTTTCAAAGGATGAAAAGTGGTCTGGACATAGATTTATATCCAACTGGCCCCTTTAATATTTGATCTACCATTAGGGTTGTCAAAAGTATCGATACTCAAAAAAGTATCGATACTGAAACGTTGTATCCGGATACAATACTCGTTTTTAAAAGTATCGATACAGTGCTACCACCAGTGGCACCTAAGCAGTCATTCATCTAAAGTGCAGAATAGAGGACACTGCACTTTCAGAACACTGTTTGATTGAATAATTCTGTGCATTTTTCAGTTTCAGACTTTTTTTTTTTTAAGAGGTGCAGCTGCTGAGAATTATTTTTGTTTCTTAACCAGTTTGGCTAGTGTCATTGTTATGTGTGCAAAGCATAGCCAAGGAAGGAACACTTAATTTTAATTTTATAAGTTTTTTATCAAGCTTGCTTAATATTGTGCACAGCATACAACCTTTATTGTATTTATTTATTGTATTTTATTTATTAATGAAAATATTTCTGTGGAATTTTGGAGTCTGTTTTTATCCTTGTGGTATCGAAAATGGTATCGAGTATCAAATATTTTCCTTAGTATCGGTATCGAGTTGAAAAGTTTAGTATCGTGACAACCCTATCTACCATATCAATGATGTTAACGATGCAGCCATGAGTGTTTTCTTTTTTGACTTGCTAGGATCATGCAGATAAATATACTTTAAAATAAAATCATCCATCAGCCTCTAAACTATTTTAAATGCACACACTTAGTATTTTTAAATGTCAACTGAGCAGAATAATGTGTAGTCCCTAAATAAAAGAAATAATAAAAACAAAATCCTCTTTAAAAAAAAAGTTCAAGTCCCTTGAATTCTTGTCCCTTTCTGCTGTTGCTAAAACTAATTAAAATGTTTTTTTAATGGAACTTCATCGGTTGGCCCAACACAGAAAATTAGTAGTTTTTACAATCTTATGTGTCTAATGAAGTCATGAAAAAAAATAAAAAGGAGAATGTGTTTAAAAGAGAAGAAGATGGATGGATGTTTAAAAGAGAAAGAGACAGCGCAACAGCTAAAAAGGAGAGGAAGATGGCAAAGGAGAAGATTGTTGTCTTGAGTTAAGGCTGATTTATACTTTGAAACTAGGTCGTCTGCGTAGGTGTCGCAGTGAACAAAAACACCTCCCCGCCCACTCCGCAGACACTCTGCTGCGCTTCTCCCAAATTGTAGGTAACCGCAGACAGTGTCGCAGACAGGAGGCCGGCAGGAGGCCGGCTTTTTTTGTTTTTATGACCGCAATTGCAGAAAACAACTCGTGAAGTTTGACCACCTAGAAGATTGAGGTGCACGAGAATGCTGGGATGTTTTTTCAACCTGGATCACCACTATTTTTTGCCGTCATGTCCCTCCGTTGTTGGAGAAACTCGCCCCCACTTCCTCACCGCCTAGCCTGTATCTAGACCCACAGGGTATAGCACAGACCACCTTTCAATATTGAGGATAAATCAAAAATGTCTGAGTCAAGCTCACTGCGACACACTGCTGCGGGAAATATAACCAGGCCTTTAATGTGTAAGTTTATATCAAGTTCTCTATGGCAGGTTGTTTTACCATTTATCAAAAGCACTCTCCTCTCTGTTATTCCATTCGAAGATCATTACAATAAATAAAAATTACGCTCTTAGACTGAACAGTAATAATATATTTTCTAAATTATATTTTTACAAACTGAATTTCAGAAGGTTAAAAAAACTACATTGAACTAGTAGGAATTAAGTTTTATATATCTAAAAATGTTTATATATTTTAAGTGGCCGTTTTAACATTTATCAGCTTGACTGAAAATGTATTTATGATATCTGGAATTACTGCATAGTCAAAATTAAAAAAAAAGCTGACCATTATCAAAAGGAGTATGGAGATCTGAAATGAATTTCTAAACAAACAGAATATTTATTCTAGATGTGGAGAATGTCTTTTTGTTTGAAGTGGTCAGTTTGACACAGAAAAATATTTTTTTAGATATCAGAAATACATACTCAGTAAAATGAATAGCCTCTTGGTACCACGGTAACATTACAGGGTTATTTATTGAATGGTAGTAGATCAATGTATCTATTTATTTTTTTTATATGTCTTTTAATTCCCTGGGAATTAATTTATTTATTTATGTGTAATCTAAAAATAATTTCAGTAGTTCATGTATTGTAAGAAAAAAAATCCACATGCCACTCATAATAAACAAACTAAAAAGAAGTAAATCTCATATTCTGTCAGCTGAGTTGTAGAATCTCTCCCTATTAATATTTAATTCTCTGTGAATTAATGCCGATCATTCTTTAATAAGACCTTAACAGATGTTTGTTTTTACAATCTGTGTGAATTTTTTTTTATTGTATGCACAAAACTATGAAAAAAAAATCAGACTGGAAATAAAAACATGATTGGCTCTAATGAGAGCTGAGACAGAGGAAACTCTTGAGTTTACTGAACAAAACCTGCTCCCGACCAGGTTAGCTCTGGGGAGAATGTTACTATGGCAACAGAAACAGAGGCTGAGTAAAATCTTTTTGTGAAACAAAAAACTAAGAGTTTCCCTGATTTCAGGTTTATAAAACTTAAAGAGTTTTCAGTTAACCACTGTGAAACGGACCCCAGATCCCACAATCTTTATACTCCTTCACAAAATTAAGAGAAACCAAGCCAAACATCCCCATGTTGGCAAAGGGATTTTAAAAAGAATTGATATCTTTCCATTTGTGCAGTTTTTGTTGGTCATCAACATAAAATCCCAAAGAAATATGTTGAAGCCATTGGTTATAATAATGCGTTACATGGAGGAAAGCCATTTAAAATCAAGAGCATCTTAAAGTAAGCTGTTCCAGATGACTAGCAGGAATTAATCCTTAAACATGTTGCTCAGTAAAAAGCCAACGCTAGCATATTCTGTGTAAAGTTGATACAAAATGCAGTTTGAACCATAATATAATTTTGTGAAATCCAAGATACTCTTCAAGGAGAATATTTAATGTCAATAATATTTTAAAAATAAACGAAAAAGTGGAAACCTTTAGATTCCCACCACTTCTCTGATGAGGTAGATAAAGCTTTTATAAGAAAAACTATCAGCTATGGTTCAGTTTACTGCAGGTCATGCAGTGCCCCCTAGAGGACAGTCCTGCATCAACTGACTCAATAACTGCTGGAGAGATTGATGGGTTCAATAAAAGCTTGTTGGGAGCAGAAGGAGGTGGTTAATAAAGCTTTTTATAAGAATATGGGCTTGGAGGGGCCAAGGAGCTTGTAGTGAACATGTAAAAATAAAAAACCCAACCGGGAGACAAAGACGAGGAGTTTTTCTGAGTGTTAGTTTCTATCTGAAGGCATTTCTACACATTTTTCATGGAAAAAATGTCAGACTTTTCCAAACTCCAAGGTTTAAATCCTTTTCAGTCAATTTCTAAAGTATTAAAACCAAACCTAACTGAATTTATTGGTTGACTCAGGTCAGATTTTAAATGTAAATCTGCTGAAAACACAGACTGAGGGGAGAGAAGAATGAATGAATGGGTGGATCAACTAGACTTATGGATGGACAGGTGAACAGATAGAAAGAGGGTGGGATAGATGGGAAAAAGACAGATGAATGGATGAGAAGGCAAGCAGGCAGTTTGCTGAGCTGAGCGTTGAAGTGTTACCTCTAGAGAGATCCCTGTAATGACGTCCAGCGGGTCAATGACGTTCCCCAGCGACTTGCTCATCTTCCTTCCATGAGCGTCCCGCACCACAGCGTGCAGATAGACCTGGTGACAAATGGCGTCATCACTAGGGTCCATGCCGTTATTCCATGGTTGTGATGAACAGCTGCTACAAGTCAGCAGTCGCTGCCTGACTCACCTCTTTGAAAGGCAATTTGCCCGTCAGTTTGAGACCCATCATCACCATGCGGGCCACCCAGAAGAACAGGATGTCGTGACCTGTCTCCAGCAAGGTGCCGGGGTAGAACACATTCAGGTCCTGGGTCTAAAAACAAAAGCATTCATAAAGGAAAACCACATCAACTCCATTGGAAAACAACAGTTTCAAAGTCACATTTTATAAGGTTTACTCTGACAGGTTCATGAAGTGGATATCAACCAGTTTATTGGCTTCATAAAAGTTACAGGTGAACTCAGTACCCAGGTGAAGGCTTTCCAGTTTATAAGCTTTGCTTTACAGCTTTTTTATTTTTATCTTCAGCACCAAAGACTGAAGCTCTTGTGACATTTGCATCTGCAGAAAGTCAACTGACCTAAGCGTCTTACCTCATTAGGCCATCCGAAAATAGAGAAGGGGAAAATGCCAGACGAGAACCAAGTGTCCAGAACGTCCTCATCTAAAACACAATAAAAAAAAAAAGTAAAAAGGTTACCTCATCTGTTCAAATCATGAATGTAACTGATGTAATTAAGTAAATCTGTGCGCTGCATACCCTGTTGTAATCAGACCTAATTACTGTAGTACTGAATATGCTAAGCAGGTAAATCTCACCCTGTCTGAGAGAAATTTTATCCACAGACACGTTGAAGCGTTTTGCTGCTTTATCTTTGGCCTCCTCTTCTGATCTGCCACTCACCCAGTAATGACCATCCATGTCCTAGAGATAAAGGAAAGAAGGTATGAGCTATACTGATGAAAATGGCTTTTAATCTACCCTCTAAAGTCCTCCAGAGCAGAAAGACGTGATGGATGTCAGCTTACCTCACCAGGTTTTACAGCAGGATCGTTTACAGTAACGAAATAGGCAGGAATACGGTGACCCCACCACAGCTGCCGGGAAATACACCAGTCCCTAAACAAAAAAACAATGGGTGAAGAATATGTGAGGATTAAAATTACTCATAAATTATTTATTTTCTTGAAATAAAATGTTAATTTGTGGGGTATTTTTTCAAACAGAAGGAACATAGCGGGAAAAAAACAAATCTTGCAAATGTTTGATCACTTTTACAAATGGCTTGAATTAACTTCCCTAGACTCCTTCCCTTATTTATAAAGTTCTTAATATTTAAGGTCTACAGGGCTCCATATTTTCCTGACAGGCTATAGGTTTCAGGTTTGTCTAGTTTCCAAAAAGAAAACACAAGGCAAATGTGAAGCGGACACTTGAACTTTTAAGAATATGCTTTAAAACTTCCCTACAAAGTTTAAAATTAAGAATGGCTTGTATCTTAAAGCTAAATTTGTAACGCTTTTATGGGCTTAGGCTGATAGAAGACACACTAAAGATCTTTCTTTTTCTAATTACTTTGTCGTAATAATCAGCCTCAATTTTCCTTCACGTATTGCTGCCATTAGCTGTGTTCTCATGCTATAGATGATAATCCTTCAATATGTGGTTCTTTGTTTAACCATGTCTCTCTTCAGCTCAAAGCCAATAGAGGAACAATTAAAGTAATTTACTTAGTTTCTCTCACAGATTAAACCACTAATCAATGTTGACATTAACTCCATTCATAAAAATGTTCCCCAGGACCAGGGATTTCTGTTTTTTGTTTGTCTAAGTTTGTCTCCTACAATGGCTAGTCAGGATCGACTGAAGGATTCTTTCAGTAAATAATTCTTTAAAAATCCTGTCCACTGTCCCCACATGCATGCTGAGGAGCAGTGATTGTTAAAGTTAACCCAAAATATTTAAATCGGAACATAGATGTTTGAATTTAAATCTGCCTACATCATCTGAGATTAATCTAAACAGATATTAATAAGTTTATTTAGATGTTTAGATGATTTTTCAAGTTGGTTAAATGACATTTAATTGGTGTAAAAACTTTAAATTTCAAGGATTTGCCCAAATTTTGGCACAAAACTTTCCAATTCTGATAGAAAGCTGAAGTTACGGAAGAACTTTTTTGCTAAGCTTACTTCCTAACCACTAAGGCAGTCACACCTACATCTGACTGAGCTGAACACAGGAGATGTCCTGCCAATACGACAGATTTAGGATATTTTTTAGGAAAAAATGTGGTAAATATTGTACAGTTGAGATGAGCTAATTCACCTCTGCCTAAAAGGAAAGAATGATGGCATAAAATGCTGACAATGTTCTGAACCGACCTTGTCCTTATGAAATAATTACAGAGTTTTGCATTCTGTGGATCATTGAACATTTCTATCTTTTGGCTACAACGATGAAGCAGTCTTAGAGATCTACCTAATGTTGTCCATCCAGTTGAACCAAGTCTTCAGGTGGTGATCGGGGATGATCTTGAGTCTGCCTTCTCTCACAGCGTCTGCAGCCTCTTTGCCCATATCTCTGCAATTCACGTACCACTGAGGCTTAAGCAGCGGCTCTACAATGTCCTTTGAACGGCTGACGGAGAGGAAAAATGGCACAGCTTAGAAATAATCCTAAATGGGAGAAATAGATCTCTGAACCAACACCCTACACTGAAAATGTTGGCTCTACCTGCAGACTGGAACAACCATGGGGTTGTCTTTGATCTCTTTAAACTGGCCTCTGTCCTTGAGCGCCTGAAGGACGGCTGTTCTGGCCTCAAAACGCTTCATGCCCTTTGGGACAGACAGATGCGGCGAGAAGAAAAGTCTGAGATAAAATTGCTTCCCTGAGGAAAACTGAGTGTCACAGAGAAAATGCCCTCAGTGCAGGAGGAAGGGAGATAATGAGACACTATACCAGGAAGGGAGGAGGCACATTAATGAGAAGCCCATTTTCATCCAAGATGTTGATGAAGGCCAGACTGTGCCTCTCTCCGACCTCGTAGTCATTATGGTCATGAGCTGGGGTGATTTTGACAGCACCTGAACACAGAGGTGAAGGGGGCAGGAATGAGAAAAAAGGCCCAGCTAAACAACTTGGTGATTACCTCTTTTGTTTTCTTGTGACAAAACTTGCCTGTTCCAAAATTCATGTCCACAAAGTCGTCAAAGACAATTGGCATCTTGCGCTCACAGAAGGGATGCAGCACCATTTTCCCCTTCAGATGCTGGTATCTGGGGTCCGCCGGGTGGACAGCCACAGCCGTGTCTCCCAACATCGTCTCAATACGGGTCGTGGCCACGATCACCTCCTCATCTGGAGAAACACCAGGTTTAAGGAATTTAGCTGAAGTGCTTTGTAGCACATTTTCTGAAACAATATGTTCTGCTCCTGTTTACATACCTGATCCATCCACCTTGTAAGCAAAGGACACCAAGACTCCGAACTCTACTTTTTCCTTGTAGCCAGGCACAGGGAGCAGAGTTCTGCCGCTGAGCTCCTTCTTATCCACCTGGAAGACAAATATTATAGGTTTAATGAGAGGGGAACATTGTGACCAGAACCGACTGAAAGGATGGTGTGATATTAAGCTTTCATTGTCTGTATCTGAACATTTACAGCTCTGGTCCCAAATCATATATACTGATCAGAAGATGGATGTCAGAATAACTTTATCGGTAATTTTTCCATAAATTTAAAGGTAGAACTAGGTGCACAAGTTTAAACTTATTGTGATTCTCAGGTTAAAATTAGATTTAAACAGTTTGTTCTTTGCAGTCTGGATATTTGACCTCTTGTCTCGTCAGACATGGAGGTAATTTCAATAGGCTGGTTTCCTGGATCAAACAGGCTCCTTAAAAATACTCAATACATTTTCTGTGTTTTAGGATGTTTCTTTATTTCAAAGCAGATTTGAAATGGATCAATTTCGTGGAACACCCAACTAAATCCAACTACTGATGTCTAATAGAGATGGTTGGGATGTTAAGGAAAACCTCATGAAGGACCCAGGGTCAAAGCTGTCATAAATCATGAGATGCTGGACAGCAGTGCCACCCTCTGCAGTGAATAAATGGGTCTTCAACCTGTGGCTTCAGAGCCACATTAATCTCTTAGGATCTTCCAAACATCTGTTGCATAGTAATATGGCCAAACTTTTAGTTTCATTTCAGTCAGACTCATTCATGTTTGATAAATGCATTCCTCCTTATTTAGGGTTTTTTTCTTTGTCTCCTTGTAACATAGTTTGAGCCAGGATCTATATAGATCTTTTGCTTTTATTCAGAGAAAACTTGCACATTTTGGATGATGAGTACTAATTTCTGGAACACTTAAAGTATAAACTAAATAACAGACTCTCACAAACCCAGAGCATCCACATCTGGACTTTGCAATTATCCAAAGGCGTGGTAATAAAGTGATTGCAAATCTTTTGAATGTTAGGAAAGTAATACAAATGATTATTGTCATTTTGTAAATAGACATTATTTTCCTCCCTGATGTTTAGGATCATTAAATTTCAATCAGCACAAACAAGCAGTGCATCAGGAGCACAAACCGTTTATAAAGGTAAGAGAAATGAGGAGCATGAAGAAACTTGCCTCTATGTCAGATATGGCGGAGTTCAGGGTGCAGGACCAGTTGACGAGCCGCTTGCTTCTGTAAATCACCCCCTCATCGTGCATACGGATGAAGGCTTCCTGCACCGCGTAGGACAGCTTCTGATCCATGGTAAAGCACGCTCTATCCCAGTCCAGAGAGGACCCCAGCTTCTTCAGCTGGTGGTAAATACGGTCTCCCTTCCTACAAAGGAGTACAACCATCTTCTTTTTCCTGTTCAAGTTGATTTCTGATCAATTTTTGGCCTTCAGACTCACTCGTTCTTCCATTTCCAAACTTCCTGGATGAAGTTGTCCCTGCCCAGATCATGGCGGCTCAGACCCCTCTCCCTCTTCAGCTTCTTCTCCACCACCACTTGTGTTGCGATGCCAGCATGGTCGCAGCCCGGGTTCCACAGGGTGGTTTCCCCCCGCATCCTGTGCCTGTAAACATAAGAACTCCATCAGCTAACATGAACTTTAGATTACCAAAATATACTTAGTGTTAATCACCATCTGGTCAGACAATCCTGAATGGCATTGGTGAGAGCGTGACCCAGATGGAGAGATCCTGTCACGTTTGGAGGAGGGATGCACATCATGAAGATCCCACGAGGGTTTGGCTCACTGATACTTTTCCTCTAAAAAAATAAATAAAAATGCAGTCAAACGTTGCCGTCATTCGTTAAAAGCTCTGATCTGGAGGTAGTATACAAAAAGGAGAGCGATACACTTACACCATACTCCGGTTTGAAAAAGCCCTGCTTCTCCCACCATGGATACCAAGCAGCCTCCACATACTGAGGGCTGTAGGAGTCTGGAAGAGCACTGATGACGTCTACAACCAGAGGAGATAGAGAAACCTGGTGTTAGGGTTGCTGCATATGTTGCACCCACTTAACACAGCAGCCTGTATGATTGTTTCATGGGCAAACACTGACTTAGGTTTTTGCATTTTAAACATACAAAGTGTTTTCTGCTCCTACATCATAAAGTTTGACTGAAATAAGCTGCCAAATGGATTCAGAAGAAAAGTTCCTTCAAATAATCTCCATAATAAGGAGGAAAAACATGTTTGGAGGAGTCAAACTAGGCCTTTCTAACCTAGGAACACTGCAACAACTGTCAAGCATGGTGGTGGCAGCATCATGTGAGGATGCTCGTGCAAAATTTGGATGGATTTTTATTTTATTTTACTCTGACAGTTAAATATAAATATTTAATATCAATGCCAGAATTCTGGAAGAAGATTGACAATGGCTACAGGAAGCATGCAGCTGCTCTGCATCTTGCTTAGAAACATTTATAGGAAGGAGTCAGCATATATTATATTTAAACTGCATATTGCCTCATAAATAAAACAAAAAGCATCAAAACTACTCTGAAAACCAAAATCTGTTTAGATGCTTCAAAAGAAGCTGAAACTGGATATGACATCCTGGCTATAATACTTCTTAAACACATAAGGACAGGAGGAGGAACAATATTTTGTGTTCTCAAAATTAACTCAGCATGCTTATCAACAGCTATTTCAAAAAATATAATAATTTTACAAAATGTAGGATGGTGCATTGGGTTAATCCCAGATTAAGATCAAACATTTATTTCCAGTGTTTCTATTTGCAAACAGAAAACTCTTTTATGCGATGCCTTTCAGCTCGTCTCTGTCTTAATGAAAAGTGAAGGAATGAAGGATTCCCAGATCTGTTATTTTCAAACTACCTTTTTTTTCTCCAGGGTTTGTAGGAATGTTATATGTAATCACTCCAAGTTCTTTCTTCTCAGGTTTTGCCTTTTTCTGGAAGACAAAAAGACAATCTACTTATCAAATCATGTGTTTGATAATCATCCGTGCTAAAGCATTTTAAACATATTTTCACATTCTGTACCTCTGCTGGAGGCTGCGTCTTTTTCTTTGCCTCCATTTCCTTCTTCTGTTGAAACTTTTCCAGTTTTTCCCTCTTCTTTGCTTCCTTTTTCAGCTGCGCCTCCGTCTTTGGTGGACCTGCAGGTGAAATGAATAAAATCTCTGAACAAATCTCATAATATTCTTCTGATATTCAGGAAGGATCTTAAAATACTTGGTTTACCATTAATTGTGGAGCTGTTGGAGTCCACAGCTGCACCAGCGTTGGTAGCTTTTCCAGCAGCACTTGGTGAAGGTGTTACTGGTCCCACCTTCTCACAGAGAGCGATCTCTCCCAGCACCTTCAGGAACTGTGGCTGGTTAATGCAGGTTGTGAACCACCTCGTCACGTTGGTCACTGCCTTCCTGTCTGAAGGCTCTAACGCCTGAAAAAAAAAAATAGCACTTAAAAACCTGAGTGTCACTGTAGAGAAACCTCTATAATCAAAGGGCTGTGCAGCATACATACATATTTGAAAGGTAGAAGAACAGATGTAGCTACAGCCATATCAGCCAGAGTTAGGCTCTCCCCCACCAGGTAGGTTCTTGGCGCCAAGGCCTGATCGAGAACCTTTAGAACCCGCATAAGTTCTGCCCGGGAACTCTGCTGGAGCTGGAAATAGAACAAACTAATCTTATGATGCATCTTGTAAACATTTTTATATCCTTAAACAGGAAGACATTTCTTCTCATTAACTTTTATTTTGGATTGTATGTGACAGATCAACGAAAAAGGATGTACAATGAGTCAAGCGTTTTAAGCTTGTAGTTCAGCACAATTCACTTTGATGCCCCTAAACTAAAAACTAACTTTACCAACACAGGGCTAACATGATAAAGGGATAACTCAGATAAGTAGAGGGTTCATGAGAGAAGCAGGAAACTAACTTCAAAATGTTTGTGATTCTAACAACAAAATGTAAAACTTTACAAGGGAATAAATATTGCATATAAATTCACAACTAGTCTTGCAGTTACCTTTTTATCCACACCCATCACTCCCATCAACGGGAAGACAACAGCACAGGAAACTGGGGTGAGCTCATTGTCTGCAAAGCTGAGCCACTGCCACACTTGGCTCTGCTGCTTTGAGTCCAGCCCAGCCCTCTTCCCCTGAAAAGCCAGGTACCATGCAACGGCACTGGCCCCGCTCAGGACAGAGTCCCCATCCCCAGCAGCAGCTAGAACCAGAGCTGGTCTGGAGCGGGCATTAAGGGAAGCTGGTGGATCCTCTGTGATGACTCGAGGACGAGATGATGGACAGAACTCCGCAGCAATAAGACTCAGGAGACTTCTGAAGTCGTCGGGGTGAGGGGACACATAGAGAGTGGCCATCTCTGGAGGAGACACAGAGGTTTACAAGGAGTTTGACAAAACAAGTATACAGCTGACCAGCAACAGCACAGTAGAGCCAGTCTAGGTTAGTACAGATTATAAATGTGATATTACCTTTATTATCAATGAAGTATTTTAGAATAGAATTATATATATTTGTCAAAGCTGTCAAAGGTATGGCTACTCAAGCACTGTATTCAGATACAACACCAATTTGTGTTATTTGCATATATTTGCTATTGTTAATTTTAGATTTCTGGATCATATCAAAATGAAATAAATAAAACAAAAAGCAAAAAAATATTGTCAACTTGTGATATACTTGGGTTATTTATTTGTAGATTTTAATTGACTAACAGAATCTGTGATTCTGGTGAGAATGTTTGCCACCTGTTTATGTTGGACAAATCCAAGGTCAGCTTAGATCTCTTGTTTGGGGTTAATTCAGCGGGTTATAGCTGACAAAGACATGTTTTTCCATTGCTAATTACTTTTGCATGTTATTCCCCATTTCAAATGCAGACAGTTTCCTTTTTATTTTACCAGATTTCCTTTTACAAAGGTGTGTCATATTTGATTAACGTGTCCTTGCATGCTACCTGCTAGATGTTATCGGAAACAAACATGAATATGAAAGTTTAAAAAAATGTGAGGCATTCACAAAGACTTTAGTGGTGCTTTGTTTCTTTTATTTATAAAATGATTTAGGCAAAGATAAACAAAAAAATTGTATTAACACAAATTATCTAAAGGAAACATATTCCAGGACATTACAACTTTTTATATTTTCTGTTGTATTACTTTAATGGCATCTTGCTTTAATTCTGCCCTTCATATAAGCTACTGGAAAAAGAAAGTAAAACATAGAAAATGCCAGTGATATCAATGTAATGCGGTAGCTGTTCTTTCTGCACAGTTTGTGCACACATCTAGTTAGACCTAGTACTATAATATGAATTAAATGCAGGACTGCTTGATGAGTAATAAAGATGTTAGTTTAATTTTGACTTATTAGGTTAAGCCTTTAGTAAATATAAAATGTCCTTATTTCGAACAAAAACACCGCCCCAGTTAATGGCAACAAAACATAGTAAAATAGAGATGATATGCTTGTAAAATAACTATGTTTCAAAGCTGACATTTATCACCACCTGTCAACTTAGAACTTCCACTAGGAAGCTATGGCTAATTAGCCTTAGCTTACATGTCAAAGTAAAGCTTTACTTTTTTTAACCTTTCTTGTGTTTTACTGCCACTAATTTAATTCAAACTCGCTGTCAATAAACTGATGGAGTTCTTTGACAAAGCACAGAGAAAAGTAGGACATACCTTTGAATGGAGCAGAGAGACGTCAGCTTAGTTAGCATACACTCAGCCGCATGAGTTCTCTCTGTCTACTGCGCATGCGTGGTCTGATGCAACGTAACAACAGCTTCCGGTAAAAAAAAAAACAAAAACAAATATACGTTTTAAAATACATTGAAAACTAAAATAAAAAATATTTAATTAAAGATTTGGCTTTTAGAAATATATATGTATATATGGTATATATATATATATATATATATGGTGATAAGAAAAAATATAAATAAAACATTTTTTATTTTAAGCTTTATTGAAAACTGCAATGACACAGAGTCTAGGAGGGAATTCATATAAAGTATCAATTAGGAGCAAAACAATAAACAAAACAAAAAAGATTTAAAACAGTACCAATAACAAAGGGGGTTATAATCACATAACATTGCCTGTCTTAATGTGTCATAGACAGCCAGTGAGAATGAACAGGTTGGATATTGACCAGGCAATAAAAACATTTTTTTTTCGTTTTTGAACCCAGCTGCAGAGGGTAAACCATTGTGTTTTGTTTATTATTTTTTATTATTATTATTTTTTTTTACAATTAATATGATATTTGCTAACAAGGAAAATATAACTAAATCATATTACATTTAAGGGACAGCTTCAACATACAGCAAAGTTTGCAGGAGATCCAAAATGAGAACATGACCGATATTAAACCGGGTGATAACCTCCTCCAAAACTGGCGTAAAAATAAAACATGTACTGTTTTGTTACCCTCCCAATAAAATAGGCCTACACATAATTCCACTTCAAACTTGTTATGTTTCTTCAAAGATCCAGACAGGCAGCTGGAAGTATTTGTAGAGAGTATTTTTTTTGGGATAGTATGGTTTTGCAACCCCACCCTTACAGTTGGTAAAAAGCTTCACTTTAAAAGGGTTTCTAAACCTTTGTCATTAGAATATTTAGGGCTAAAACGATTAATTGGATTAATTGATTATTAGAAATAATAATTTACGAATTTAGTAATTGATTTTAGTAATCATTAGGTGAAGTATAGAGACTGTAAAACTGTAAATACTGTAAAGCTGACAGATTGTTTTTTAAAGTATAAAGTTTATCATCATAAAACTCATGGCTGGCTAAAGTAAAAGCCACACCTCATAAAAACATATTGTTTTCAAGATAAAAGTCTTGTGGGTTTTATTTATTTTTTTTCTAACCGTTAGGGTTAAAAACAAATGTACTTTATGATGTCAATTTCAACAAGAGGAAGCATAAAGAGGAAGATAAAAAGAACAAAAGAACACGAGATTGAAATTACAAAATGAGTAAAAGTAACAAGTGGCCTGTTTGAAATATAACATTATACAAAGAATAATTTATTTTTTTACTTAGTCTTTTAAGGAGGCAAGGGGATTGCTGATAAATCTTCTTCAGCATAGAGTCCATGTGAGGAACCAAACTTCAATAAGGACAAAAGGTGCTCAAAATTGGAAAAAAGCTTTCATTTAACAGTATAAAAAATTGTTAACAAAGGCTTAAAAGCAATACAAAATAGCTTAAATAATAAATAACATGGATTTGGGCCCAAATCAACTGAGGTCAACTGAACAGGAACTCAAACAAAAAACTGACCCACTGATACAGAACAGAGGCTGCTTATATAGGGTAGGAATAACCTAAACTTTCCACAGGAGGGAGGCACAACATAACAGGGAAGCAATAAACAAAACAAAAAAAAAGTCCATACAAAACTAAAACATAAATAAAACAACTCTTTAACTTAGCACAATTAATTGAATATTAAGGTGACAAAATAACTAAAGTAAACTTAAACAAAATTCCCCCTCAGTTCTTGGGAAAGTGGTTTGTTCCTGGTTGCTTCTACCTCCAGCTGATCTGCATTTGCAAAACTATGAATTTACACAAACTTTGTGGTGGAGGTAGAAGGATCCACCACAGTCCAGCAGATGTGAAAGCTGAGATATAATAGGAAAAGGATATGTTCTTATATATGCAAGATTTTGGTATGAAATTTTATTGAGGGAAAGATAACAGAAAATTTCAGTTCTGTCATGGTTCCATATTATAACAGATATTTCATTATTTTTTGAACAACTATCATGGATTTTTGTTGTGACATCCAAAATAACATCATAATTACATTTCACTTATCCTGAATTAGGTCAAAGAGGTGACAACTCCTGAATAAAAGCCCAGATGTCACTCTCAGAAACCGATTTTTAAATTGCCTCTTGCCTGGACGTCCTCCCAGTGAGACCCAGAACTTGTTGCAAAGTCTGTGTACTGTATCTCGTCTGGCCTTGGTCTGCCCCCCCAGCCTCCTTCTCTTAGGAATCACTATAAGAGCTGTATGGTGTAACAGTCCTTAACACTGTTTCCTTATTTTGGAAAAATTCATTTAAATCCCAGGCAGGTTCTGTATCTGTGGAATGCATGTTATGGAAGAGTATGGGAAGCCATTTTAACATAAATTCGGTTTTGTCTGACCATCCATGATATCTTAAAATACATTTTGACTATCCAGAATGGTAATTTAAGATATCTGTATTTTCATTCTGATTAGGAAGCATAGAAGATATCTGAAATGTGTATTTCAGATAGTCAGTAATTCCTTCTAGATATCTTAAATTGACGTCTCATACACGTTAATGGTAAATCTGACGTAATTTCGACTAGTCAGAATGTAGTTAGAGATATCTCGAATAAGTATTTTGAATAGTGAAAATAGAAAATATAGAGATATCTTAAATCGCTAAAACGTCTAGTCATAAAACAATTTGAGATATCTTGAATGTAAAGGCATTACAACCGAATTTATTTTAAAATAGCTTGCCACAGTGGTGTGGGTCCTGCTGTAATGCATGCTTTAAACTGACGACTCTAAAGTCATCTTTATTGATGGACTGGTAAACTAGCCTCATCCAATAACAGCTGGAAACAAACATCCCCACAAGTATCAAATTACTATAAGAATGGCTATTTTAACTTATAAATACTTCTTTAATGCATCAAATAAAAGAATAATAATTTAACTTTTTTGTTCTCACATTGGAGAAATTTTCCTCTTTAACCCATCCCCTTGGGGATCTGTGGGCTGCCATTGTGCGGCGCCCCGGGAGCAGCGTGGGGTTAAGGGTTTTGCTCAGGGACCCAGAGTGCAGGCTGTGGGGATTGAACTGGATACTTGCAACCTTCTCAGAGCACAAGCTCACTGCTATAACCCACAAGTCCAACACTCCCCTTGTACAAATACAAAATTGAAAAAAATAAAAAGCAAATGTTAAGTCTTGAAAGCAAGCATTCTCCTTTATTCAGCTGTACAGGTGCTAAAACCAAACACAGGAGTTGAGCATTTCCATCCCAAAGCACAGTGAAAACAGTGTGTTTTTCTTAATCAGACCTGAAGGTGCAGCAAGATATTTGGACAGCCAGCTTTTCCACAGTGATCAACAATGTGCAACATTTAAAATTTGTTACATTTATTTAGAAGAAAAAAACCTAAAAAAATTAAAAAAAAAAAAAAAACTGCAAGGCATATCAAATGACATCAGTGTTTTTTTTTGTTGTTTTTTAACCATGGTGCATTAGAAAAATCTAAACAAAAACAGAATAAAGACACTTTATTTATGGCTTTAATCCTTTTATCCTTTACTCTGATTCTTGCCCAAACGCCTCCTTTACTCCACCTAAAATCACATCCAACATCCCTATTATAAAGTTCCCTCCCACCCTGAACACATTGCCCACTCCACTCCCACTTCTACAGGCCAGCCTGCCCAGACCCCCACCTACAGCCTGAGCTTGACCCTGCATTTCAGACACCACAGTACCCACATAGCCCTCAGTCTGCTCCCACAGCCTCCCTCCAAAAAATTTGGTCACCCACCAACTATTATCCAGCGCGCCTCCAAAAATGCCCACTGTGTCTGCAGCCAGGGTTCCCATTCCTGTTAACCCAGTATGGCAGCTGATCAGCAGGGCCTCTGCCATTGAGGAGGTGCAGAAATAAACACTGGAGAAGCAGGTCCCCCCAATACCGAGCAGCATATCTGCAGCTGATCCCATCCAGGACAGAAGGTCAGAGATGAGGAGGTGGAACAGAGTGAGGGTGTCACCAGGCAGCGCGGAGAGAATTCCCAGATCTTCCTGAAGAACATAAGTTACCTGGGGAAGAAGAAAAGGGCGTTGGCATGTGATTAGCAAGGAGAGAAACAATGCCAGGAATCAAAGAAACTATGTGGCCACACCTAGAAATGAGCAGACGAACGCTGAGCATGTTCAAATGTAGCTTTGACATTAAAATTGGAAAACTAGAATATATGAAAACATAAATTCATTAAACACACAGGGCTTTTATTTATTTCAGTTAATGATTATGTCTTGCAGATAATTAAACTTAACTTTAAGAAAAGCAGAATGTCAAATAAGACAAATTATGGGGATTTTTATCACAATGAATATGAGTCAATGTGCACATTTTATATGTGGTTAGGGCTCCTTTTATAAGAATTAGTGTACCAATGAGGCGTGTTGAGGAGGAAATCAACATTTTGGTTCTTCTAAAATATTGCCTAGGCTGCTTTGATAATGGCATCGAGGTCATCTGCATATTTGGGTCTATAATGCCTCATCTTCCTCTTTACAGTAAAGTAATTTCCCTCTGGGATTATTAAAGTATTTCTGATTCTGATTACAGTCCTTCATAGATCCTCAGGTCAGACCAGTTTGATGGCCTATCAAGCAACAGACACATCATTGTCTTTGAGCCAACTTTTAAGACTTTTAGCATTGTATGTAGCTTCCAGGTCCCAGTTCCAAAAAATTACTTTACATTTGTATAAAGCTTGTCAGTAGAGATAATTATTAGGTACACTGAAAATACATGGGCATGTTTAGACCACAATAAGAATTTCTGCATTAAAAGTTCTTCTTTTACACCGTGCAATTTTAGCTTAACTCCAATTACCAAAAAAATGGTTTTCAAACAGCTGGATAATGCAGTCATCCACCTGAAATAAATGCTTTAAATAAATCACCCTGTGTGCGTAATGAATATAGAGACTTTTTGAATTACTTAAAATAAATTAAGCGTTCCACTATTTAAGAATTATGCTGTCAAAGTTATTAACAGATTGATTTATATCCAATCGATATTTAAAAAGAGCACATGTTATCAGTAAAAGTTTAAGTGAAACCCGATAAAAAGGAATATTAATCAAAAATAAAGACATAATTATTTTTTATATACAAGTACTCTGTGAATACTTAAGGTTGCAGTTTTATGGTACTTTATAATAACCAGTTTGCCTGCAACTGGTTATCTTTCAGAGAATTAATAAATAATTTATTTACATCTATCATCGTGAGCTGAAGAAAAAACAGATAAATACAACCCTTCTAAACTCCATCATGTATTTAACATTTTTTGTGTCAGTTTTTTAAAATAATTTCAAATTTAACACATAAAAAAGAGAAATGTGTTCAATTCTATATCCATTACCACTCCTGTTAAGATGTGTGAGAGCTGGTAAGTCAATGCATCATTTACTACATCTGCAGTAGCCTAATCTATCTGCCAGAGCATACTGGAAATTGATTCTTTTGGTCAAAGTTAATAAGAAAATAAATTAGTTTTTAGTTCAGTAAGGATTTAACATTTAGCAATATGTAATTTATAAATCCTTCTTTATTTATCCAGGCTTTACCAGCAGATAGCGATAAGCCACTTCGCATGTTTAGATAAAGCCAGACACGCTTGCTTTGAAGCAACAGTTTTCTGACCGAGTCCTCCCTCTGTATAATTCCCTTTATCGGATTTTCTCCTGGTTTTTTTTAATCACACCCTCATTAAAAGAAGATTATCTTTACTTTTAGGGTTTTAGTACATCTTTGCTAGTGGTGTGTGTGCAGAGGGCTGTATCTCCCCAGAGCAACCTGAAAGTCAGGATTTAACAATAGATTATGCCGTATCACCTGTGCAGGAAACTCTGTGATGGTGGAGAAGACGGGGTGCAGAGGGGCCTTGATGATGGACAAGGTGGTGGACAGGAGATAGACCAAAGTGCTGGAGGAGTTTGAGTCCTCTTCAGTAACAGGTTCGCTATATGACTGCTCGCTGTTACTCACAGAAAGTAGGGATTCTGTTACGGTTTCGTCTGAAAGGTCAGAAACATCAGCATTCTGTGATTTAGCATCAACCGCAGACCTTTCTTCAGGCACTTTGCTGCCCTCCTTTATGTCTTCCTTTGCATGTGGGTCAATAGTTTCTGATATCACATTCGTTGCATCTGCCTCAGCTTTTGCAGCGTTTGCATGAGGCTGGTAACTGGGAAGCCCCACTATGGCTGCAGCCGTCTCCCTGTTGTCTCCCCCACAGCCTCCAGAGAATATCTCTGCCACCCCTAACATATCCTCCAGCTCCTTCATGCTCACTTGCCACTCTCCCTCCTCTGTCTCTTTGATTAACCCTACACTGAAGCTGCCTTTCCCCTCTGGAGGAGAGCAGCACACTGCAGACCACAGCAGTTTGGCCTGACAGTCTTCATCTCCATCCTCAGCTGCCCCGAGTCGTCCTGCTCCTGTCAGGATGTAGAGGCCCCCTCCTAGAGCGGCACACTTGGGGATGATGCAAGACTGGATGACTGCTGCCACTGCTGAGTCCCACTGTTGAAAAGGGGAGTTTATGGGTGAGCTTGGATCAGACTGATCTGCTCCTCCCTTGAGAAGAGCTGGAACTGTGGCTTTGGCACCATCTTCTTCTGTCTTGGAGTAAAAAAGGGAAAAATATTGTTATTGGACAAATCATTGCTTTTTTTTTTTTTTTTTACTTTTCCTGCAAAATTTTCCATTTGTGATTTATACTTCAGTTAATGTTTAACTTTTCATGTGTTTAAAAGTAACAAGGTAAACTTGTTACTACTTCTCCACAACCCTTTTCTCTTTTTTATGAAGAACCTCCACGATGCATTCCTAAAACCTTAGTAATGCATATCTTGACTAATGTTAAACAAAGCAGCTACTTTGCTGGTTTCGGGGCTTAAATCATTACTAGCCACCAAAATACAGTTCTACTGTAAACAGGAATATACATTATCGTACAGATTTTTTCATTTACATTTACTGATAAGTAACCTGTCAAATTAGAAGGAATCAGAACCTCTTTAAAGACTGATAAAAAGCTACTTTATAACTTATTAGTAATTATAAATAAATGACCTTTGACTCTGGTCTTATTGTTGTTAAGCAAATGAATATTTGTTCTAATCTCAGAAATAAAACGTGGGTTAAAGACTGCAGTAATGTCAGCAAAAGTAACATATATGGATTATCGATAGAAAAAATATATTGTGTAGAAAATAATCCTCTTCTTACTTGCAGGTGATACAAAAAGTTGTTGGTCAGCTTTGAACAGAGAATAGTAAAAAGGAACAATAGATCTGAGCTTTAACTGGGTCATTTTGGGGCATAAATTCGGTTCTAAATCATGTCTCCAAGTCTGGTCCTCTAGAGCTGCTTCTCTGAAATGTTTAAATACATTCATGCTCCAAAAGAACAATGTCAAAGCATCATTATCAGGCTTTTACAAAACTTGGTAGAGCCTGCAGGGGGGAAACTTGTGATGGCTCTGTATTACTGAGATTTTTTTTTTTAGTGGTCAAAGTAAGAAGAAAAAGATCTCTGATCTTTAACAGTATCCTGCGAGTCTCATCCCCACAGCATGCTGCGGCCAGCACCATCCATCACTATGGAGGATGTGTGTTCCCTGTCTCTATTTTCCACCAAACATACTGTTTTACATGTAGGCCAATTATTCAGCATTGGTCTCATCTGCCCATCAAAACTTTATCCACATTTGCCATGTCTCCTACAGCTAGGACTTGTTTTAGTATTTCCATTTTCAGATGACAGACTAAATCTGTCTGAAACCTCAAAGCTTTGTATTGTATGACCTACGTCTGCTTTAAACTTCTCAGCGGTTTCAAAATACACTTATCAACTCTGTTTCTTGATGTTCACGATGCTCAGGGCTTCAAGGAGCAGCTGGATTTATACTTACTGAGAAGATAGGAAAGCTGTTGGATGCAAAGAGTAAATAAATGCTTATGCATACTTCTAAAGTGAAAACTGTGCCTAACGTTCCTTCGAATTAAACCTGCCACGATTCCGATGAAACAGCACTTAAATACTTTGAATTTTGTGGCTGCTAAGGTACATAAAATGTAATAAGTTCAAGGCTGTGAATACCTTTGCAAGGTCAATCAGTAATGTTTATATTTTGGGAAGAATTAGACAAAGAATCAGTCCAAAAGTAAAAACCTGGACCTGCAGAAAAGCTAAGAGAAAACAAGTCTACAGGGTGGTAATTAAGTGGAGTGCTTATAAGCTATACAAGCAAAAATTCTATAATGCTATCTTAATTTTTAATGCATCCTTACCACAGTCTCCCCCTCACGCTCCTCCTCTCTCCCTGTCCATCCATGGCTTAGATGAAAGGCAGAGCAGACAGTGGTGTCACAGGTCGGCCTGGACAGAGTGGCAAACGCCTGTCCCCCGGGCAGCCTGTGGCAGTGGCGGTGCAGGGGCAGCTCAGCTGAGGCTCCCCGAGGAGGCGTCTGTCTGTAGAAGGAGCCGTCGCAGAGGGTGAGGCCTGGCTCGGAGTCCTGCTCAGCTGGAAGAGACAGGCCTGGGCCCAGAAGTGCCAGCAGGCAGACAGCAGCAGCAGCTGCTGCACTGAGAGCAGCAGGACTCAGCATGGTGGTGAGCTCAGCTAATCTTCCCTCCTCTCAAACACAGTGAGGGGAGGCTTATAAATTATCCAGTGGTCTCGGCGTACAGATGAAGATAAATAATGGCTGCTGATGGGCTTGCTGTTTGCCCCCTCACCGATTCCTAGCTTCTTTCTCTGGTTTAACTCCAACCATGCCTGCCTTCCTCTCCTTCCAGCCGTGAAAGTGAATCAGTTTTTGCAGGAACAATCTTGCTTACTCCTTCATTTCCCTTTCCAGTGACAGCCTCGCCCCCCTCTGTCAGTTCCACCCTCTGGCTGTTTGTGCTCCTCACCGCTCCCTCTGCAGCTACACCTTTACCTCCCATTGCAGTGTGGCACATAACCTGAGCCCACACCTATTAATTACCTGCAAGACTGCATTCCCAAAAAAATACATTTGTGCAACACAGCCGTGCACATTCCAGTGAGTCAGAAAAAGACATGGCTTTTATCTGAACTGCTCCTAAATCAAGCAGTGAGCTCTAAAATAAGCAGTTTGTTAATGAAATCCTCATTAAATCGTAACGCTGACAGCAACACATTCACTCTAAACTCACACGCCCACCTTCATGGCCCACAGATTAAAGCTGGCGTTTCCTAATATCAGTAACATGCCTGCTGAAGCACGATTCTGGCACGCATGGACTCTTACAAAATCATTATGGCAATGGCAAGTAAACAGTAAGAGTGAAAAGTAAAAAAAAGATCTCAAGCACTCCCAACAACAAGACGGGGTGGAGTTCAGCCAGAATGCCTTCACATTACTCAAGAGTTATGGGTAAAAGGAGCCAAAGGCAAACATAAGGTTCTGCAGAGTGGTGTCAGCATTCCTCAGGACAGAGGTGAAGCAAGCAATAGATTTCTGACAAAATATGAATTAAGATGACAAAAAAAACAAATTTGAATCTTAACCTTAAATAATGGATTCCTTAAATCGGTGTGATTTTCATAGCAGGGCATCAAGCCATTAAATAAAAGCTGTTTAAGCTCTTTACGTACATAAAGAATTATACAACACCTCTGCAGCTTCTGTGCTATTTATATAGCGAAGCTAACAATATTTCAGTTTTTAAAAAAGTTTAGAGAGTTAAAATGAAAAGACATTGACACACAACAGTACAGGTGCAAAAACAAATTGTGTATGTATTTTTAAAAAAGGCATTAATTATGTCAGAACTGTAACAAGTACAACTTTGTAATTCTGTGGTTACAAATGACAAACTTTTGAGACGGTGGTTGAACCAAGAAAAGCAAAAAAGAGAAGAACGACCGTGGTTGAGATCACAGACTGTTAATGGATAAAACAGTCAATGGAAACATAGAAACAGCAGCAGAAATTATCAAATTAGATACTGAGTCATGAGACAAGTGGGCATTGATTAGCATGATCAGCATATCAAATACCACACGAAATGAATATTTTGATCTAGATAGCTACCAACTGCAGCTAATCAGGGTAATACTTTTACTACCTGCAGCAGAACCATGTCATATCATCACAAACTTCTGAGAAATATCAATATATATATGTGGAGCAGCTGCAGCTAGCAGACAGTCAGATTTACGTGGCCCATTTTAGCAAGCTATGGCAGATAAGCTCATATTAGACATACTCATACCAGAGGGACAGAACGCTGTTAGCATCTAATAACAGTCTAGAAAGTCAAAACAGCGAATGTTTAGTTGTTGCTTTTTGTTCCTTGACAACATCTCTGTTCCTATGTGCAGTGAGGCTGCAACAATCCACCATCAGTTTTGTCAGTCTGCCCAAAATGGTGCAAGCCTTTAGATTTCACACAAGTCTGTCACTTCTGCCGTAGCATAAAACACATGCTGTATGTGGTAATGGCTTATTTAACAAGCTCATGATAGTACAACATGTTTTAGAGAGACCAATTACACATAATAACCCCACCGAACCAGATTAAGGTTTTAGGTGCCACTATATCAGAACAAGGTGGAAGCTTTCGAGTTAATCCTTAACTAGAGATCCATATTTAGACAAAAATTCTGCTTAAGGCGAAACATCTGTAGCTGTCAAGAAAGAAAAAAAAAACTGATCCTGCAATGTGCGGAGCATTAATGAGTCAGTAAAGTACCATATAATCACAACTTTGATGTGGTCCATGTAACAGTGATGAAATGCTATGAGCTTTCAAGAACATATAGAGCACTGACATCAAGATACCCCTATGAAGACAATTAAAAAAACTAAATCTAAATGCGGTTTGGACCAATGCTTTGGAGCATAAAATGGTGAAAATGATGCATTCTATTTCCTCTGTTGGATTCAAAACGACCTCATTTATAGACACCCTGGGTTACATTTTTCCTTTAAAAGGTCAAAATTTGTCTAATTCAGAGAAAAACATTGTATAGATTGTACTAAATTGGCTGGTTAGACAAAAAAAAAAAAAACTACTACAACAAAAAAACTCAAACATCTGTTCAATCCAGGGAATGCACAATAAGTGCACCTTCACAAAAAGAAATACTACCGGATCATGGCTTTATTAATACGGTAATCTGCAAATTATCATTACCAATCACACTGTAATTGATCCTATAGCCACCAGGGGGAGCTTGGCTTTCAGGAGAAAAAAAATCAAGTCTTTTTTGTCATCCTTTTCCTCCTTCCTCCTGCTCGCTCACTCATTGGGAATGTCAATGACGAGCTCAGCCTCATCTCCCTCCCCTCTGTCCTCGTCGCCCCTGTCGCTGTCCCCGTCGCTCTCACCTTCCTCATCAGCAGCGTCTCCGCTCAGCATTTGTTTAGGAACCCAGCTGAAGGGCCCTCTAGCTGCCTGAGCGGCTCCAGAAGGCGACGTGTAGTTAGCCGCCATCGGAGCAACAACCTAAGGAGAAGAAGGGGAAAAATTTTAAAAAGGGGACAAAAAGAGGACAAAAACATCTTAAATAAAAAGGTGAATGGCAACGGATGGTAATGTCACAGATGTGTACATAAAGTTAAGACAAAAATTGGTAATGTACCTTAACTAAGAGAAATGTTGCATAAAATATTCTAAAACAAACCAATAAAAACTAAAGACGTTGGAAGGAGTAAATCTTTTTTATCATCACTTCTCTGTAAACATCTCCTTTTTCCCCCTCCTCCTCTCACCTTCCCTGTGGCCTCTCTCTTGTTTTTTGCCGTCTTTGTTTTTCTCTCTTTCTTCATGCGCTCGACTGGCGGTGCCAAATACTCTGGTGGGAAGGGCATCTGCCCCACGCACATGCACACCCCGATTATTCCAAATGACCACATGCACAATTTCATGAAGAGTTTGAGGCACACACACATACATAGAAGAAACACAAACATACAAACACGGGAGAACGAAGAGCACAAGGACAGTGAAGGCATTTAATAAAAATGAAAATAAAAACATGTATAAAAAAGAAAACATTAAATAAAAAAATCAATGAAAACAGGGAATATGTCTGCAGATGAGAAGATGACAATGGCTGCAGTTTTACTGCGGTAAATAACCGAGAACTGGAGAACTCACGGTGTTGAGGTAAGATCCGGCACTGGATGACTGCAGGGGGTTAACCCCAGGACGAGACAGCAGAGAGAGATGAGGCGATGAGGAGGAGGAAGAAAGGCATGCTCCAGGGCTGCTTTTCCTCCTGAAGAATGAGGAATTCACAGAGGAGGTCAAAGTGATAAATGAGAGCTTCAACAATTATGGAGCTGAACTATCTGCTTAGTTAAATTGTTTATCTTGACAACATAGATGGATTAAAGTCATAAAAAACAACAGCAGTAAGAAATAATAACCAGCAATTCAATTATGAAAGGTCATTATTTAGATCTGGGTGACTTTCCTAATGATAGAGAGAAAAAATTTAACCAATAAACACCCACGTTTCTTTTTTACTTTACATTTTCACTCAGCCTTCACTGAGTTTTATTGTTTCCTTAAGTCCCCTCTAAAAACTTGAGTCAGCTAGAAATATCCTAAAGAATTAGAAACAGGCAGAAAGAAAGCCTGGTCAGCTGAGCAAACAATGACTTCCTTTTCAGAGGCATGGGCCAGTATGGGCTTTTGCTTGCCCTGTTTATCTGTAACTTTTAATACCAACCTTGCCTAGCTTGGCCATGAGGGTTTGAGAGGATAAACCCTTTCACACATCCTACAGAATGCCTAGGGGCTCTGAAGGAGTTCAGTGAAACTGTAGATCATTTCACATGTACAGCTGGGTGAAATTCCTCAAAAATCTATTTATTTTCATATCAAATCTGATAGATTTTTTTTTTCCTTTCACACTTAGGTTTCATAATAAAAAAATGCAAATAACATATAATTGCTCTCAAAAACTAGCTTGTATTTCAATCGTCCTTTCTGGGAAGTGACCTTCATTTAAAGGGCAGAAATATTCAAGCTGGAAAAAAGGCTACAAACAATGAAAATATTTCTCACTAAAGGTTTTAGGCTAGCATTATCAATTAAATATCAGTTATGAGTAAAAATCTAACAACAAAAAGTGATGAACTGATGTCACCTGGAGTTTTGGAAGCCCAAGGTGCGTATTGGTAAAAAAAAGAACAAAATGAAAGATTCTACAAAAATGAAATCTCCATAAAGAACAAATTTAGATTAATTAATTAAATAAAATCAATTAGTCGCCCAGCATTATTCGCTGGTTATATTTTCTATTGAAATTAATCAGATTATTACCACAACATATATTTATATTTCCCTGCCCTACTCCTAAATAGATCTCAAAAAGGAGTTGCATATCATTATAAAATGGTATTTTTACGCGATTAATTACAACCTCCAATATTTAGCTCATCATCTCATTCGTGATTATATTGTTTATTTTAAACTGTCAGCTTGGATTGGAACAGATTCCAGAAAATGACTTTTAAATTAAAGGTATTGTGATATCTGATAAAACTATTCAAGACAAAAAAGTATGACTTTGAGAGAAACTCCCGGGTCTGTGGATATACTGTATACAATATGAAACCAAACCCAAAGACCAAAGTCTTTATAATGCATTTTAAAAACTTTTAATGTCTTTCTACATAAATTCTAGGGCTGCAACTAATGATTATTTTGCAAATCAATTAATCTGTTGATTATTTTTCTGATTAATCGATAAAAAATCAGACACCCAAAGGTTTCTTAAAGGAGATTTTTTTTAATAAAATTACACCAGGTGAAACTAAAACTTTTCCGTTTAAGGAGTTCTGGATAGAGCATGTTTTTTTTTTTTGTTTTTTTTTTATCTTAAATGCAAAATGTTTATGTATTTCATTCTCTTGATATACTTACTTTTCTAAGTGGGTTGCTCTGTCAGCAAAAGGCATGTTTTAGAGTCTCTATAATCCAGTTAATAACTTAGTTGATCATTATTTCAATAATTGATTAATTACGATTAATCCGATGAATTTTTTTTAGCCCAAATATATTCTTAACATAAATAATACGACTCAGTTACCTATTTCTTTACTTAAAATACATCTTCTTGTAATATTTCTAAAGATCTGTGATATTAAAAAAAACAAGGTTAAATCCAATGATAAAGACCTTCTTTTGAAAAACGCTAAAGTCTGTGAAACTGTTTGATCTTTTCAGTCCAAATTGAATTATATGCAGATAAAGATGAACCCTTTTCTGGTCAATCAATATACATTTCTGGCTTACTTTTTAGCAATTTCTCGTTCTCTTTCCCTTTCCCTTAGTCCTTCGCCTTCACTGTTCTCTGAAGAAACTGTTGCATCTGAATCTGGAGAAAGTAGCAAGAATGTCTGACTCGACAGGAAACTAAAATCAGCTCAGAACGAGATGTATAATGTGGTACTAACCTGAGGAGTCCTCATCCACCCTCTCATACTGCAGCAACCTGTCCAAAAGAAAACTACAAAACAGACCAGACTTCAGTTTACACCACTTTTAATTTGGACACTTGGACATGATCAAGCAGGAACTATTTTACCTTTTGTCTCTAGAAACTTTTAGAAGTTTTCTTTGTGCCCTTCTCAACTCCTCCTGAAAACATTCCTGCTCCTGTGAACCAGTATAAACCAGTAATAAGGTATGCATTCTGGGTTTAAACCACCATTACTTAAAAAAAGAAAAAAAAAAAGCTCAAAGCACTCACATAAACCAGAAATTTTAATTTTCGTTTAAGAGTTTTATATTTTCGCTTGTAGTCGACCTCGACGTCTGTCTGGCCGTTCATTTCTGTAAAATACATGCCAAAAATAATCAAATTGACCAACCGAACTTCAGTTTAGCCGCAGTGCATTGTATACTGGAAGCTCAGTTAGCTTAGTTAGCTGGAGCTTTGAGTATTTAATGCTATATTTTTATTTATACAGGGCACAAAGACCACTGAAAACATGTAAAATAGCCTCAAACTGTAAAACCTGAAACCAGAATTCGTATTTAGTGTTTAAAAATAGCATCAATTACCTTTAGCTTGGGTTGCTCTCAGCGACATTTTTCTTGTTTACATGCGTTTTTTCTACAGCATTTCCGGCTGCGTAGTTCCCTCCCAGCTCAGTACTGCCCCTCATAGGTCAGACGGTGGTAGTTCAACATTCATCTGAGAGAACAGGCCGCAGTTTCATTACAAAATACAAAGTACATCAAGCGTTTATTTATTGATGTTTACGTCGATATAAAAAAAACATAATAATTTTGTTTTCATCAGAAAATTAGATGATGATATTGAAGTCAAAAAATAGAATAATTTTCCCATAATTTTTTCTTAAGACAGCTGAGCCCTCCACAAGAAGTGCAAAGCCTATTCTAAAAAAAGCTGGGTTTTAGCAAACTGGAAGCAAGTTTAAAAAAGACTGCATATAGAGTCACCAGAACCTTGACATCCACTGTTTGTGTTTTATTGCCCCTGAACCAGAGATAACATTAAAATACATTACAATCAGGGGAGGATCTAGGCATCTAGGAGATCAGGGGCTTAGCCCCGAGGGTGAAGATGAGCGTGTAGACTTTCTG